TCCTGTTTCAGTATTAGGGTTTTGACGTCACATCATCGCCTCGTTTTCAGAGGTCCGAAAAATCGGGGATTTCAATAATTTTTTATAAAACGTAGGGAGCTCACAGCGATAAACGGTTTGTGGTGGTGCTAATTCACTCTGCCAGAAATCATGTATCATTCATCTCTGTCTGGAATAGTCCTGTTTCAGTATTAGGGTTTTGACGTCACATCATCGCCTCGTTTTCAGAGGTCCGAAAAATCGGGGATTTCAATAATTTTTTATAAAACGTAGGGAGCTCACAGCGATAAACGGTTTGTGGTGGTGAGCTAGTTTGGGTGAGTTCTATCGAATTATGGAATATAATTTTTTTGTGATATAAGCCCATTGTTTTCTCATGAAAACCTCTTTTTTATACATACCAGATGCAGCAATTGTAGGGTGTTTTTTTCATGAAATTTGTAATACTCTGTAGAGTGAAATAGTTCATATCAAGTTAGAAGTGAAATTACACTTTTAGCCTAATTTTTTTCCAACATTCCTTGGATTCACTCCATTATCTTTCCCATTACTCCAGAAACATGATTTTATAGCATAACATGATTTGAATTCAATTAGCATTATAAGCTCGTAAGTAGCATGCTTTGGTCTGGGGAGACCTTTTTTTGACTGATCGCACGGATCTTGCCCTACAGATGATAGGTACATATTGGAGATTTTAGAATGACATGAATAGTGTAAGTATTTATATATTTTATATTATAGAGGAAGTCTGTATCGCTACCATGACATGGCCAGCTCAGAGTCCGGATTTATATCCCATTGAGAAACTCTGCGACATTCTTGGGACGAGGTTACAAGAGGAACGTAACTTGAATACGTTGGAAGATGCATGGCAGAGACTGATTCAAATTTGGAAAGACCTGGACCAAAATGATATAAGGTCTCTTATTTGAAGTATATGCCGTCTTTGTCAAGAATTTATTATTGCCCCAGGCGGAAGTACTGGCTACTGACCCATTCGCTTAACTCATTGTGACTTCGCATTCTGTTTCGTTTCTTGTGATTGTTAAATTGGGATATTAGTGTTCCATAAAATCATGTTACCCTATAAAATGGTGTTTCTCGAGTACTAGCAAAGATAATGGAGTGAATCCAAACACAAAATGTTGAAAAAAGATAAGGCTGAAGTGTAATTGTGACTTGATATGGTAATTATTACACTCTATTACAAATTTCATAGAAAAAAAACGCCCGATGATTGCTGCAACCGGTATGTACACAAAAACGTCCAAATCAGACAAGTAGTTTTGACGAAAATGGATCGCAAACTTTTGGCTACTTTTTGTGTATATAAATATCTGCTATTTTATTAAAATTTTGTTTCATTTTATTGTCTTCTTCAATTTTTTTCCCGTTTTTGTTTCAATGAATAAGCTTAGATTCGCTGATTTATAGATTTTTTAATTTACCCTTACAAATCACTTAAAATCTAGTATGCCCCACCCTGAAATATATTTTTGGCTACGCCACTGGGTGAAATAATGTTAATTCTTCTTAAGATCGACCAATGGAAGAAATATTCTAGTTGCCTAGGTGAAATTAGTAAATATTCTTCAATAAATCAGAAATATATGGTTTTCCTATATACAATATATGTAGAGCGAGATATATTTTTATTTTTCATGCTTCACAGAAGCAATATATGTCATCAACATTGATCTGAGTTCATCAGTGGCGGCGTATATTTCATTTTGATTCAATTTTAACCCATGATGAATCTGAATGAAGTTGAATAAAATTTTTCAGATCCACTTTGTATTTTCTTTCAAAACAAATTTCCATACACGCACACGCCTCTGAAGTTTATCACTTTTGTACGTCCAAACGGACTAAAAACATCGATGTCAGATCGTATTTTCAATTCACCAGTACACATATTTTTTTGTACTTGACTAATTAGTAATTATGTCAATTAGATATTTCAATCCTGATTATTTTCATTGACAACGTAACGTGGTTTGGGAGACCCTGTATGAAAATCATCTGTGACGAACTATATGGCTTGTTGTAAAACATTCCTCTATATTCTGCGAGTGTTTCATAAATATGTCGATTCTTTTGCGATAGCCTATGGTGAAGATGGTGGCGAGCTGAAAAATACGTTTTTTTCTTTCAAAATTAACATGGAACAAATATCTGTAGAAGTCAGGGTTGAAGTAAGTCATGACTTTTATAAAAAAGTAAAAAAGTACGACTTTTTGAATCAATTCGGACTTTTTTGAATTAATTCATTTGAGAACAAATCAAATTCTATTTACTTGAACAAAATACAAGAACACCGAAAAAATCTAAGTTTTTATTTCCGTTGAAAATCTCAAAGCATAACAATAAAATACTTAAAATATGCAATTTTTGCAATACAAACTGAGACTATTGATTGAATGAAAAATAATGTTTATGCAACTTATATTACTCATTCGCAATCTCCATTATAAAGGCGCTTTACAGTTATTTGAAAAAAATGCAGCTATTTCAATGGCGCGCCTACGGATTAGTATCACCTTGTAAAGCAATTTTTCGTTGCATTGCAAGAAATGAGTCCGGTAATTTGTATTACTGGTGCAATTCTAGTGGTGACATGTTAGATTTTCGGAACGTCATGCATTTTTAGATGAACATTGGATTTTACTTTTCTTGCCTTTCTCATGGTTTCTTCTACCCAACTCTTGACCCAACCCAAAATTCGGTGAGAAGTAATACACAGAATCTATGACAAAAAGAACATTGCAAGCCGGTAATTCAGATTCAGTGTTGAATAGCCTTCATATCATTTTTGCCGGAAATATGAATTGGGATTTTAACCTTCATTTTCCCGCGCTGTCATTCTGTCAAAAATTATATGTTTCTGACGCCAAGTGTGATATGTCAAAATATTAATTTTGCCAGAACGAATCGGAAGATATGTTTCTACCATATTCGGTTGTATAAACAAATAATCATATGATAATCAGTCACATAATTGAATGAACAATTATAATAAACTTCAATACTACTACCAAATAATCACACTTGATGATCACGTGATATATGCCGTGAGATGGCACATTGCTTAGCATTATAACACAATTGGAGCAATCAATTGCATGCAACGAAATATTGTAAACTGTAAAGCGGCTCTTAGGAAATTTAGTTTTATGCGTGTGGGTGTTTCCCGGCTGTCAGTTGTCAGATGCCATCGGTTATTCAACTTTAAACTAGTTTACATTGAAGATAATAATGAGATTTGTTCCCATTTGATAAATATTGAATTAATTCACGACTTATTTGAAAAAAGTCATTTGAATTAATTCACGAATTAAATCACTGACTTAATTCATATGAATTAATTCGTGCCAGCCCTGCTAGAAGTTTGATTAATATCATGATCGGAACAGTGAACTGCAGTCGATTGAAATGATGAATGAAAAATTAGTAATATTAATGAAAAAATGTTCCATTTCAGACATACACATAGAGCAGAAGATGGTGAGATGTGATGTTCTCCCATTTTAAACTGCATGCAAAGTTATGAAGCAAAATCAATTTGAAAATTGTGCCGTCTTGTATAAAAATGTTTTGGTCTCAGGAATGTGTGGTAAGTTTCTGTAAAGACCTTTTAGGAACACCCTGTAGAGTAAAATCAATAAACTACATAACCAATATAATCATACATTATACTGAAGAGATATTTTTGATCTGCTTCTGCATAATTCAATGACATCAAGAAACCGTGAAATTTCATGGAAATAGCATAAAGAATTTATGCACAGAAAGAAATAATTTTTGATATAAATATGGAGAAATAGAGACTGAAAATAGAATAGACGATATTCTGAAAATTGGAAAGAGACCCCATCATGGGGATGCCAACGGATGGCATAATTCCAAAATATAGCTTTGAAAAAACTTTTAAAATAAGTATAACGGACAGAGAGGCATGGAAGGAAGGACCTCCTATCAATGCAGACATTGCTGTCTATACGGACGGCTCCAAAACTGATGAAGGATCAGGAGCTGGTATTTATGGAGTCAAGCCAAAGACAAGAATCTCACTGAGCTTAGGCAAATACACGACGGTGTTTCAGGCAGAAATTATTGCAATACATCATTGCGTGAAAGAATTGATAAGGCAAGAGTTTAAAGGCAAAACCATTGCAATCTATTCAGATAGCCAGGCGGCAATCAAAGCAGTCAACTCTATGCAAGTTAACTCAAAACTAGTATGGGACTGCTTAGAAACCCTAAATGCACTGGGCAGTCAGAACAGATTGACTCTAGCATGGGTACCAGCACATACAGGGTACGAGGGCAATGAAGAGGCAGACTCACTTGCCCGAGCAAGAGCAAACAAAGCTCTTAATGGCCCAGAACCCTTCTGTGGTATTGCGAAAGCTATACAAAAGACTAGTATCAAACCATGGATGCAAACCAAATCTCAAGAATGGTAGAACAACTCGCCAGGAATGAGACAGGCAAAAGAGTTTGTTAAAAAACCATCACCAACATTCACAGAATATCTACTAAGCCAGAAACGATGTTCAACTAGAATACTTGTGGGACTTCTCACAGGGCATTGTAGGCTCAACAAACACATGAGTACGATAGGGCTGACTGAAGAACTGCTGTGCAGGTTCTGTCAAGAAGAGGAAGAAACAGCAGTACAAATACTTTGCCACTGTGAGGGCTTGTCAAGACTAAGGTTCCTTACGCTGGGTGAGGAAAAACCAGGAGCCCAGAGATACACAGGAGATCTGAAAGCTAGCGTATGGAGTCTCATAGAGAAGGCGGGGCTAGCCGAAGAACTCTAATCGATTTTGAGGGCAGACACAATAGATCTGAAAAGGTCGCAGTGTGGAGGCAGATAGCCCGAAGGCCCCATTCCAAATCTAATCTAATCTTCTGAAAATTGAGAGAAATATATCAATGCTGTTGACTGCAAATGTATCTGTCCGAACATATAAAAAATATCATGTTCATTACCTATTTCGTATATGCCAGTCTGAATTTGAACCAGCAATGTTATTTGAAGACTCCGACGCTAGTAACCTTTCTCTTTCCAGTACTGCTGCAGCACTGAAAAAAATAAAGATAATTTTAATAGGGTTAAGAACAATGATAATCACAATTCGAGATAATTTTGTAAACAACAATCAAGCAAACTAAATCAAATTCTCTTCTTCCGACCTTTCAAATATACAGGGTGTTTCAAAAAAACCTAACCCCCTTGCTAGGGTAGGTAGAACATTGCAAAATAAGTTGGGTTTGCTCAGTGAAAAAATGTCGTAACGCCATCCGTTTTCAAGATACAAGGTGTTGAAACATTTTTGTTACACATTTTTTACGATTATGTTGAAACAACTGGCAACATTGTGATGAAATTTGTATGGATGTTTCTTGGAATCTGACACATCGCATGCATTTGTTTTTATATCTGACTTCCATAGAGGGCGCTAGTTACACGGTTCGTACCGAGTAGTTTTGAACATAACTTTTTTGAGGTTACATTTTTCAATCCAAATTTGATGTGAACTTGAACATCATTCAATTTCACACCAAAAAGGTACTCTTGGTGAAACTCGATACTATGTTTCGTTTTCGGAATATTTCGATATGAAAATAATGGAGTAGTAATGATGCTGGTATAAAATGAATTTTATTGAGTTCAATTACCTATTTATTCAGGTTCAAAAACAATAAAATTATTCTTGTGCTGAACTTATTGATGGAATAAAGAATCATAAGTAGAAAATTAAGAGATATTTGACTAGAAACATGAAATATTGAATCAGTTAGAGTAAGTGTTCAAAATGTCCTACGTTTCGAGGAATACACGATTCTATATTCTTTTTTTAAGAATGTGTTATTCTTCTGAACTGTTGAGGATCAGCTGTTAGGTCATTTAAGTGATGTTCAATTATGTCTCACAACTCTTGACGTGAATTTACCTATGTAGCATAGACTTTCTGCTCAAGATACAACAAAACTGTGTAATCCGTGTTCTTAGTCAAATCTGTTTCGATGTTATTCTTGTGATTCTTTGTTGAATCAATGAGTTTTGCATCAGAAATGTATTGTTGTTTTCGGTTTTCAATAAATAGGTGATAATTTTTCATAATACTCATTCTAAATACTAGCTTTATACCAGCAACAGTTACCACTTCATCATTTTCAAATCGAAATATTCCGAAAACGGAACACAGTATCGAGTTTTACCAAGAGTACATTTTTGGTGTGAAATTTAATAATGTTCAAGTTCACATCAAATTTGGATTGAAAAATCTAACCTCAAAAAAGTTATGTTAAAAACTACTCGGTACGAACCGTGTAACTAGCGCCCTCTATGAGAGTCAGATATAAAACAAATGCAGCGATGTGTCAGATTCCAAGAAAAATCCATACAAAATTTCATCACAATGTTGCGCCAGTAGTTTCGACATAATCTTGAAAAATGTGTAAAAAAATAATTTTTTCAACACCTTGTATCTTGATAACGGATGCAGTTGCGGAATTTTTTTACTGAGTAAACCCAACTCATTTTGCAGTGTTCTACCTACCCTAGCAAGGGGGTTAGGTTTTTTCGAAACACCCTGTATATCGATCATATATTTTTACTAGTAGAACTTCACCATCTTGTTAACATGTGAACAGAGATTTTCACTTCTCTTATGTATTGAAAAAATCTCTTTTGGAATTTACGATGATTGTATTTGTTTCTATGGAGGTCATGAGTGACAAAAGGTACTTCATATTTCAAAGAGCCGTGATAAGAAAACAATTCAATGATATCCACTATCTGTGAATAATTTCAATAGAATGAGCATCATTTCGCTATGCAACAGATCATAAAAATTGTCCAAGATTCAGAGAACCTCTCATTCTACTTTGAAATAAGATCCATATCCTCCACGAAAACATATTCACATCAATGAGAAGAAAAAAATAGGAGATCCATAAAAATGTGAGTATTTTGTTTCAATGATTTATCACCGAACGGGTGATAGGAACCCTTTTTCAGGAACATGGAAACAGAAATCAGAAATAGGTACCTAGAAAATGATTATGGAATCGGAGAATCAATGAAAAATGGCGTATTTCTATTCAGACTCCTATAGTATGTGGTGAAAAATGAGTAAGGTAAGACGTTTATGTACAGGGTGTCCCATCTAAATGTGCCACCCCCTTTTATCCTCGTAATTCTCAACATATTGTGGCCATTCAAGAACGTTTCTGGAATAATTTTTTGCGAATTTTTCGGATCTGTGTTCATTTTTTCTTCATATCAACGAAATACAGGGTGGCTAAAGAAAAAATTAGTTTTTTTCAAATGAAATTATCTAAATTCTGTTCGACACTAATATATGAATGATATATTTGAATTTAGATTGACGGGCTTCATCGAATTATTAATAAAAATATGTGAAAACAAATATTTTTCTGAGCCACCTTGTAATTTATGAAGAAAATGTGAGCACAGATTAAAAAAATTCGGGAAAAATTATTTCAGAAAAGTTTTCAAATGATCAAAATATTTTGGGAATTACGATAAATTGGGTGACATATTCAAGTGGGACACCCTGAGTATGTCGCAGTCTCTTGGTATAATCAGCCGTTTCATGAAAAGTCTGGTATTTTCATGGAACGCTGCCAAACACTGAAACAATGACTTTGCGTCCCAGTAACATTTTTATGAAAGCTATTCGACATATTTAGAGGAAGTCAATTTTTTTATTTTTCTACATTCATGCAAAAAGCAGAACTTTATTGAACTTTATTTAGTGGAAAGAGAAGTTCTTTATTGCACTTAGTGCAATAAAGTTGTTATTGCACCCATCTGTCATTCTACTTCAACGTGCTGTCATCATGACAAACATTTTTTATATTGAAACTGTGGTTATAGAAACGTCATATATTCATATTGAAAACTGCACCAATTGTTCATTCACTTTCAACATTGAGGGTAAAAATAAAGTTTGAGTTGAATTTTTCGTAACGTATTAGCTCCTGTTTCAATGCAAATCGATATTAATAATGAAGTATTCAAGTTGCGTTTTTCATTTTCCTACACCTAGTGCCGCACCTCAATAAATCATTTTTTGCTTTTTGCATGAACGTAGAAAAAATGTTGTATGCAACTCGTGCAATAAACATTCACTTTTTGCACTTGTTGCATAAATACCTATTATAGCCCTTTTGGCGTAAAAGTTATTGTTTCAGTGTAAGGCAGCGTTTCATGAAAAGACGAGACCATTCATGAAACGGCTGATTACACTATAAAACTGTGACATATGTAAATATTATTTTTCCCACAATTATTACTATTCCTTTCTGTTGTAGTGTATTTGTGACCCAATCAAATGGAGATTTCATTTTTAAAATAGCTAGAATGTTCGACTGCATTTGTATGAGGATGGCTCAAAAGTCAATCCCTACATTGCAAAGTTAAAACCTAAGAAGGCAACACTATGATGTCCACTGAGTTACGTTATCTGTGAGCCAGACGTCACTAGGGGATTATAAATTCATTGGATTGAGACATAACCTACAGCTCTCTATCAGAAAAGTGGAATGTTTGTTGGTGCTAAATTCTATAATGAACTACCAATATCATACAAAAGCTTGAGTGTATCAGTGTTCAAAAAACGAATTAGGAAATTATTAATTGAAAAATGTTATTACAGTGTAAATGAATATATGGAAGCTAACGACTTATAAATGATCATGAATGTAATTACATAAAAAAAACCTTTAAATATAGTACATGAATGCACTGTGACTGATAGGATACTCATAGATAGACTAGCTTTATTGTTGATTTATTTAGCAGGTTAGGTTAGGTCTTATAGATACCTCCTATAGATTAATATCTTATAGATAATAAATTTATATTTGAATGAATTATAACGCGACCAAATTTCTACAACATGTAATATGTTTCAGAAATAAATACTTTCTATTCTATTTTGAAGATGCAGTAAAATATCATTGATGAAATAAAAGATTCACCGAAATAGCTACATTCGGACAGATTCACACTGTGTGAATGGTATTTGAAGATGCAGTGAAATATCCTTGATGAAATATATCCTGTGTAACTTGAACTGTGCCAGTTCATAGATCAATGAGGTCGAAAAAATGATTGGTTATCCAAGGTGGGAAAAAGCTGTAACACTTCGCAGTTTCATCATTTCTACGAAATATTTCGTCTGATAGGGTGGATGTATTTAATTGTAGGGTAGAAGGCATAAAAGAGGAAGGTAAAGTTGATAACAAAATAGTAACTCATAACTTTGGTACCTCCTCCAAATATCAACGAGCTATTCTAATTTGAATTTTGTGTGACGTAAAATTGATAGCTTGTTGAGAACACTTGAAATAAACAGATATTGTTATTATTAGGATATAAAAACCAATATGTAATTATTTGAATGAACAATGTACTTTTATCCATTCATTGAAGAATAAATAAACATAATTTCAAGTAGGTTGGTAGTCAGGAGTAAAGAAAATTATCATATAATCAATTCATAATTTATCATTATATCAATAATGGTTCAATAATAATATTGAATAATTCTATTGTTACTCAGAAAAGTGATTATTTTCTAATAAAGTTTCAGTTTATAGAATAGTATACCTCATATTCTCATTTTTTTAATATATCTCATTTGTTTTGTGTCAACTGTTTCCCTGAAAATCATGATCAAAACTCAATGACAGTCAATTTCTATAATTTACTCCCTACGAATGAAATAATCATTCGCACCTTTATTCCATTTATGAAATTATTTCAAACTGCGACGCCCAGACTCCATTATTTTATGGATGTCCGAAAAAAAATACCGATACATTAAACTCTAAGTTATTAGAGAGATCTCCACGAAGGAGCAGAAACAATGGCAAATCATCTAATGAAATTGGTGTAGATTTTTCTAAAACTTTAATAAATAATGATATAACTGCTGGTAGATCTGTTATTCCCTTGTAGTCCCCATATCCCTTGTTTGAAAACAGGCTTGGGTAATCCATTTACCTACATAAGAATATTTGACAATTTCCTAAGAGATTGTTTGTGTGAAGAAGTACGTTGAGTATCCATAATATCTCTAGAAACATTAAAAAAAAGTCATCAATATAAGGAACATATCGAATCCATCTTTGTTCAGTTAAGCAACACGACGAAAATCAACATAGGCATAGACGAAGACTGAATGCATTACATATAAGACCGTCAACATGTTCAAACTTGCAATTTGAAAGGTCTTGAACATCCTCTGAGAGGCTCGAATAAAATATGAACAATAAGAGGCCTGATGATATCAATAAAGAGCTATAATTCACGAAAAACACTGAGTGTGCGAAGGCAACAAACCACTTTAAATTGTCAGCACAGAAGTTATGAGCCTTTCCAGTCATTTCCAGAAAATTCAAACGATCAAACATGGCCGCGTTACGTCAGTGCGCGAGCAATTTGGATTGGTAATGCCCTCACCTTCACGCGGGTGCCAATGAATTGCACAATGAACTCGATAATGATGCCAATTTGGACAGATAGATATGATTATGAGATCAATTGCTAAAAGTGCATCCCAAAAACTTGGTTTTCTGTTTCGGGCCAGGAGCTATTTCACTTCCAGTCAGCTGCTTATGATCTATAAGGCACAGATCCGACCTGCCCTGGAATACTGCTGCATATTTGGAGTGCAGCACCCAAATATACCCTGAAACTGTTGGATTCTGTCCAAAAAAAAGGCAATTCGTCTCGTGGGTGATGCCTCGCTCACAAACTCACTCACTTCTCTGGAACACCGTAGAAAAGTTGGCGATCTGGCTCTATTTTATAGATATTTTCATGGAGGATGCTCTTCTGAATTAGCAACAATTGTTCCTTCCTTGGCAGTCCCCGCGAGATTAACCCGTCGAGTTGAGGCTTCGCACCCCTTCGTGGTCACTTTGGAGACCTGCAGAACATCTCTTTTCAAAGACTCGTTCATCTAACAATCAGCGAGGCTCTGGAACACATTGCCAAGAGAGGCATATAACCTCCAGAAAGTTAAGAAGAACACCAATTCCTACCTTATTTCCCTTGGTTCTCATGATGTTCTCTGAACATTACAGGATATCCCTCTTGAGAACCAGAAAATAAAAAAAGTCGTATATTCCTTTGTCGATGTTTTCATTGCAGCAAATAATACATATGCTGTTAGATAACTTAATAATACCTACCTCTATCTACCTGGAAATTCGTAGGTATTGAAAAATTGCACTGCACAATTAGTTAGATGGTTGATTTCTGTTGCTGGATTATTCAAAATTGTATGTCGAATTTCATTTTTTCAGTGCAGATATTTATGACATTCAGTTTCACATACTTTCCAGTAAAGTAGGTACTTTCAAGTTTGGGTACATACTCGTCTATACATATACGTACCTACCTATACCTATCTACCATAGAAAAGGAACTAATTTTGAATGAATCAATACTAAATTGCTTACTTTGTTTTATTTTCTATGGAATATGGTAGAATGTGGTATTTCAACTTGGCAACATTGTGTTAGCGCCCATCATCTCTTTCTCTAGTTGCCACATCAGCAATTAAATTTTCCGGGTATGAGATACAGTAATACGGTTCAATTTGTTGATTATAACAATTAGTCGAATCATAACATCATAACTCAAAGTAAATCATATGAAGAGCGTCTTGATGTTAGATGCCTACATCACATTCTATCCTAGCTAATCTTGAAACCAACGGAATATTTCGGAGTAAATTGAATGTGATCAGTAGTGAATTACCAATCAACTCATCACCTACCACATAGTAATTTTGAATTATGATATTCCTTGTACCATCTTCACATATAGGATTTAATATAGAGATGTGGCAACAGCGGAGTGCTTCCCAGCCGTCACAAACTCCAACCAATCAAATTGCAAGGAGACACTGACATCGCAGCTCAGTAGCGTTCGAATTCACAGGTATTGAAATAGCATTGTCAATATTGAATAATTAATTTGTTGTTCGATTTCCTCCATAAATATGTTTTTGACTTCCCTTCATAACATTATAGCAAAAAATTGGGCAAATTTTACAATACTGGAAAGGCCAATTGTTTTAAGCAGATTATTACCCTCTTTCGATTGTTTTTGGACTTATTTCGTACCATAACATCTATCTTAAGTACAGGGTGTCCCAAATTGCTTGATTTTGTCAGTTTTTTTTATTTCCAGAACAAACAATTGATACGCGATGTACTTTTTTTGGCAGATGTATCTCATTCTATACTAAAAAGTGCATGTAGAAAGTTTCTTCTGTTTAGAAAAATATTCAAAAATGAAAATGTTATGGCATATTTTCGAAGTCGGTCAAATGTAAATTTTCGCCTATATCTCGAAACCGGTTAGAGATATCGAAATGCGCTTTTCGCCAATCGACGTTTCACAAAAATCGAGATCTAGAACCTTTGGTCAGTTTTTCTTTAGCTTTTCTGGAAAAAGTAAGAACTGTCAAAATCAAGCAATTAGGGACACCCTGTACCCTTTTGTTTTCATTTTGTTGGCAAACATTTTTTAGCATTACAGTATTACACATTCGCTCCGACCGACATTAAAACCTGCATTTACTTAGCTAATATCATAACTTTCGTCATCTATCACAGCTCCAACAATGTTCGCAGTCAAAGAAATATCAGTAAAAAGCTTATACTTACAGGGTGCTCTGTTCGTGCTGTAATCGATTCCCTGGCGTCATATTCAATGTTCCATTTCGCGATTTGTCGATAACGAACAAAACTATCGTTGCTGCCAAAGCACCTAAAACAACCAAATTAAAACCCATCCTCAATTCAACCTTCCCTACGATTTAAGGCCGGGACACACATATCCGCGCCGAGTCCGCACCGCATCCGCACCGAGCCGTTACCACCGATACAACAAGGCCAGCAGACTCTGACGTAAACAGCTCGTGACGTCACCAAGAGAGGCCAGTGTTTTATTTTATCGCTTGTCGACTAACGCGTCAGTTCGAGTTAATTCATCGGTGATTCACGTATGTTTTTGAAACGGTCCCGAATTCTTTTGTTGTTTATTCATCAAAATAATTGGCAGAAAAATTACTGTTTTGTGAAATATTTTGAGTTGTGATCGGCGAAATAACAATGCCTTTCAAGTGTTGTGTTCCCTTTTGTCGGGGGAATTATGTGGGTGGTTCAAAAGTTGATGCTTTTAGTTTCCCGTTGGACGAGGAGCTATCGAAAATGTGGGTATATGCAATTCACCGCGAGTATTTTACTCCATCTAAGTTCAGTAGTAAACAGAGCTTAATTTATAATGATGAATTAATAATAGAAGACAATTACTCTCTCATGAAAAGTATAAGTAGAGGAAAAATAGAAAAGCTTTGATTGTGCAGTTAGTTTTGTATTCGTATATTATAGTCAACAAAATCATCTCTGAATTCGAGGAAATTTTCTTGAATGTTCATAATAAACGGGCATTTTTAATTCTCATTCTCAAATTTCTTTCTGAAAACGGTCATTTGCCTCGTGGCAATGAATGCAGAATTCATTCCAATGATCAAATTGCAACTATCATATTGACATGAACTACAAACACTCTACTTAAAAAGGTAAAACTGCATTTTATCATAATATTTATCATGAAGATATTTGACTAAAAAGTTCCAAATTTCACCTTCTTTTTCACCTGTCTTCTGGATGGCATTTAGAACAAATTTCCCTTCTGTTTTCATCATATTGGACAATTTATATATAATTCAACTATTAATATGATTTTCTTGAGATTAATCCATATTTAGTGAAAAGAAGGAAGAATATCATTCAAAATAATGGCGTGTGTAATGTCATTATTTTGATTGACTACTGATTAAATGGTCGTCATCTGGAATGCTTGTTCACTAAATATGAAAAACTCGCCATAAAAATCATATTTCCTGTTGAATTTTCTATATACAGAGTGACCCATTTGAAAGCGGGCCACCCCTGTATCTCACGTAATCGTTGGGTAAGGATCATGAAATTTGCTGGAGCGAGAGATATACCAAAAATGCACTCTATAACCGAGTGGGGTCATCTTCAGTGATATACACTGCTCGCCAACAGCCATGGAACCACCCCAATTTCCTGAAAATGATATTAGGAGTCAAAATAGGTTGAAAATCACTTCGGATTCGGAATCAGGACGCCCAATTCACTAACTATTCATATTTTTCCTTGAAAATTTTCAGTTCTGAAACATTACATTTTGTCGCACTTTTCATGGAAGCGCACCCCCGTATCTCATGTAATTATTGTGGTAGGGTTCTAAAATTTGCAGGAGGAACGGAAAGTCCAAGGATGAAGTCAATTACGTGAGATACGGGGGTGCTTCCGTGAAAAGTGCGACAAAATTTAATTTTTCAGAACTGAAAATTTTCAAGGAAAAATATGAAGAGTTAGTGAATTGGGCGTCCTGATTCCGAGTCCGAAGTGATTTTCAACCTATTTTGACTCCTAATATCATTTTCCGGAAATTGGGGTGGTTCCATGGCTGTTGGCGAGCAGTGTATATCACTGAAGATGACCCCACTTGGTCATAGAGTGCATTTTTGGTATATCTCTCGCTCCAGCAAATTTCATGATCCTTACCAACGATTACGTGAGATACAGGGGTGGCCCGCTTTCAAATGGGTCACTCTGTAGAAATGTGCCATCGAAGTACATCATGAGTAAATAAAGTGTCCAATGACAAAATAAGAGCAAGTAGCTTCAAATGCCCCCAACACAAGGGGAGAAAGAAGGCGAAATTTCGAACTTTTTCTTGAAATATCTCAATAAATAGTGGTTTGTTCACATTTTCATTATAAAATTCGGTTTATCAGACAAAAATACGTGAGTACCGACGACGACCCAAATTCTGACAATGTTAACGAAGATCAAGACGCAGGAAACGTCAGCGATTCATCCTATGTTCAAAATACTATTTGTTCACAATATCTCTCGTTATATATTTCATTTTCAATAAAAACGGAAAATTATTACACGAGTTTGACTATATTTTCAGAATTTTGTCTTTTTGGGGCAAGAAACAGGCAAACTTCTTTTTTAGCTTCTACAATGTGAATGAAAATTATAGTATCGACGTAAATACAGCTTTTCTAACGTAACTCTAAAGGATTCATACCATTTAGCATAATGTTTTTCAAGTTTCTCAAAAATATTAAGTTTTTTTTCCATTCCCCATTTTAAAAAATTGGAGTTGCCCTGTTCTTGCACCGAGGTCTTCAATTGGAGACGAAATCGAAATAATCGAAATCATCTTCCACACACGCTCTTTGTAATGGGCGTGTACACCTTAGTAGAACTTTTAACCCAAACCATGTTTATAATGATCCTTTTATACATAAATAATGATTGACGACAAAAAATTAACTGGAATGTTTCATTTTTGGACATAAATAATAGTACCTTCTGAAAAAGGACCCTCTTATGACGTAGAAACCTCATCTCGCCATAGTTAAAAGAAAATACCAAACGCCCGACGGAGACTGAGGCAACTGATATATTAATTCTTTCAACTTTGATCTCGCGCTAATTCACTCTATCAGAAATCGTGAATCATTCGGTTTTGACGTCACATCATCGCCTCGTTTTCAGAGGTCCGAAAAATCGGGGATTTCAATAATTTTTTATAAAACGTAGGGAGCTCACATCAAGAAACGGTTTGCGGTGGTGAGCTAGTTAGGGTGAGTTCTATCGAATTATGAAATAAAAATGTTTTGTGATATAAGCTCATTGACGTTCCTGTATTTTTCATTTGTTTGGTCGGACAACACTGAAAACTTCCAAATTTCCTCTATTAGCTTTTCCGATTCCATGTTATAAACCTCTGTGAACCCGCACCGCATCCGTGTTGACCGTGTTAAATTAAACTGAACTAGTTGGACACGGCACGTACACGATGCGGAGGTATCGGAAGGATGACGGTGCGGACAAGTGTGGACTTTCTGGTAAGATTGCATCATTTTATTTTCTCGCCGTGTGTCGTCCAACACACGGCCGTCATGCGGTGCTTACATGCCAAACTGCCGATGAAAAACAATTCAATAGCTTGATAACCATAGTTATCAACAATAACCCCAGTTATTATGGAAATAATGGCTAGTCCCAAATTTTGAATGGCACCAGCGCTGAAACAAATGAGTTCACAGACAAAGAAAATTGAGGTACCATGATACACTCACAATCCATAAGCAGTACCCAATTGATAGTCTGGAATAATGAGCGAGACCAACGGCCATAGGCTACTAGCTAGGCACGAATATGAAATTCCCATCAACACCTAAAACATCAGAGTATTCGGGTTAATCACTGTCAATTTAGTGGAGAGATACGAATTCGGTTAAATGGAAAATGTTGCGCATTCAAAAATTTTCAAAATTGTTTCAAGTTTTTCAGTTATATCGAAAAAAATGAATTTTTGGAGAATTTTTTCTCTACGTTATTATTAGCGATACAGAAAAACTCAAAATACTTCTGCATAGCAACTTTTGATGAGATTTACCGTGGTGATATTGATTTCTCTACGCGACGTTTCGTATTCGTAGAACCATCATCAACTTCTTTTAAATACGGTCCTGATTATGTGTTCACAGATTCAGAAAGCTTTTTTATTCTGAATGGGTTGCGTGCAAGAATTGTCAGATGACCGACCCTGGAGGTGAAACATTGAAACACAACCTCACTTTTCTTATCTGTTAACAAGTGATTAAAATAGTTTTTCACAATGATTTTGGCACTCGAATCGTGTTCTTCGGCTAATCATTATTTCGCGCATGCCATCACATTGTGCTGTTGTACAATGCACAAAAAATGCAGCGGGAGACGAAGGAATCCGGTTGATTCATTATGATTCAAAAGTAAGTACCTACTATAGTCAATCACATATAGTTCTTATTTTTGCAATTTGGTAATTTCTCTGATTTTTCATAGGAATTCCTTCTATAGTAGGAGCTAATGGAAATACTCGTTAAATTTCTGAAATAATGCAAGAAGGTTGGATTCATGCAATCAAACGGGAGGACTGGTCTGACATGCTGACGAAATATGATCGTGTGTGTTGTGGACATTTTCAATCTATTAGCAGTATTAGCTTCTATCGAGAAGTGGCAGAAGGAATTTTAATAAGAAATGAGAAAATGTCTATGTGAGATTACTATTTACCTGAAAATAGTTATTTGTTTAACTAGGCAGCAAAGTAGTAGATTGACTGCCGAAGCTGAATTCATAGCCGAGCGTAGCGTGTGATTCTTGTAACGTTGGTTACGGCGGGCCATGCATTACAGAGTAGAAATGATCTAATGTTTTTGCAAGAACATGTTTCAATTGTGTTTTCTCACGCACAATTCTTGACTACTGAGAGCGAGCAAAATATGGACGCATCCAGAATGAATTGTTTTTCCGAGAACAAGTTGATTTTCATTCAATTCTATTCCCAACCAAGATTCGAAGGGCGTTCCAGATTTGGGTCATTTTCAAGAAAACTCTACTACTTTGATAGCCATCTTGAGTCAATTCTGATATTCAGATTTCTTCATCTGAAGTTTTATCTTCAAAATGAGCCTAAGATTTCCAAAATCGGTTGACGTGGAAAAAAGTTATGGCTGCAAAACCAAAAAGTTGTTTTTTTGAGATCACTCATAAGAGAGATAGGAAGTTGATTCGCGAAATATCTCGAGGTAATGAGATCATCTTCATGCTTTTGTTGTCGAAGTTGAGAAAAAAAATGTTTTCACCATTTGAGAGCCTTTTGAATATTCCGAAATTTTGCACAGTGTCGGAAAACACCATGTAGAGATTAATACCCTCATGAAGTACCAGATTATAGCTGAAGGACTGGGCTATCGAACAGTGTGAACCAAATTCAAATTGTTCTGAACTGAAAAAAGTTATTCACATTATATCAGGGGCGACATTTTGGTGTGCGACGAAATTAGTGTTGAGTAGTTTATATTAATATTACTGAGATTGGGAACTAAAGGGTTAAAGGGCGTGTAATGAGATGTTAGAGGCACTCTAGTATGAACTAGAGTTCCTAAATGTACTTGAGACTGCTGTTTCGCCGTTTTTTGTAATGTACAAAAAACGTCAGAACAGCAGTGTCAAATACATTTAGGAACTCTAGTATGAACCATATACTCACAATTCCGACGTACGGGTTGAGCATTGTGAACCCAAGCAGAATATGCGATCCAATAGTGGCACACACTCCGAAACATATCCAAAATATATTCATTCCGGTTTTGTCTATTATCAAACCCAGTATAGGCGACGATACGCCAGAAATTATATAGACGATGCTACTGATAGTGTTTGCGTCCTCGTTGGATTTATGGAATCTTTCATGGAAGAAACCTCTGAAAAAGCGTTGAAAATCTATTACATATTCAACTGTTTAACACTTCTCACACGTTTTTTATGTAAATAATGAGCGTATGCGTTGTTCGAAATTGTTGAATTTCGGAGCTCATTTCAAACGTACCGACATGGCCTCTATTTGGCGATACGTCGAATAAATGTTGACGTCACCATTTATGCTAATTCGTTATTGGTCAGATAATCTTCCATTGCCACTCACGAAGCAAGGTTGTCAAGTCACCAATTATAATCAAGTTATCAAAAAGATGTAAGAGTCATGTCGTTGATTAAAACATAATAGGAATAGGGGAATATTATAGTTCATTCTTGACTGTTTCGAGCAACCAGCATGTCCAAATATTTCTAATACTCCGTAACAAAATTGCATGTAAATGTTGGAGACTTGGCAACATTGTGCTGAATGCTGAGAAGGACAAGGCCACGTTCACCGCTTCAAATGAATAATATAAAGTAGAGAAAACGAGAAGTCGTTTACTCTATTCTCATATTATAGTGGTAAAAATATATGGTTCCATTTGAAATTCTCGAAAAAAAATGGCAAATCGGCTGACTTTCCAAACGATGCCATCTAGCGGCCACCACAGGTTTGGAATCAACTTGATACGTGATTTATCTGGAAGATCTGGAAAAAAACCTTCATAATGAGACCAAGATCATTGAATTCCCTCACACCAAACTGTAGTAATAGGAGTTTTTTCAAAGTACTATTCATCCTTTCCTCCCTTTTTTATTTAAAGAGCTAGCGCAGTTTCTTTTGATCGAAATGATAGAAAATCAACTCGAGAACATGCAAAAAATGTTTTTGATATGTCTTGGTATATCAAATTTTCATAAAAACCCGTGTTTTAAACTGGCCAATGCAATTAAAATAATTTACAGAGATTTGTCTTGGCCACTTTCATCATAAATATTTTTTTCCAAAACCTGTGCGGCAAATAGTTTCCAAGATACAGCCGGCGTCCTTTTTTAGTGGTACACCCGGTACAATAAGTTAAAGTTATACAAGGTGTATCTAAATAACACCGAAAAAATTCAAGGGGTGATTCCTTGTGATGTTTTAGGTAATAAAGTTCATATATAAACATGTGTCCTAACTTGCTTCGTTTTCGATACAGAATAGAATAGAATAGAAGTTTATTCACATAAGTGGAAATAATACACGTATTACAAATTTTTGGGCCTATGAAAATAAACAGAAACACCATTTAGTCCTTCACGAGGACGGTCTATGGATAAGATCTCTATATCTCACGCAGCACATTTTACCATCCTTCCAAAACAGAATTGAATAATGTCATATTAAGATAAGGTATGAAATTCAAGTTTTGTAAGATCTCTTTCAACGCCTATGAATGTGATGTGACAGCAATGTCATGTCAGGGACGCCAATAAACGAAACCAAAGTCACTAGATCATTAAAAGAGAAAGGAGCTATGATCTGGCCGTACCCTGTTAGATGACAAATACGTCAGTTTGCATCAAGGGGCCCTAGACTGCTCTACCTTCTACTTCCGGAAATTTTAATACAAATGTTGATTTATACATTTTTCCTCACAATAAAATCAATAAACTTACTTGGCTATCGTTATGAAAGGAAATATTGCACAGTAGTATAGGACGCAAATGACACAGACTAACCAAAATGTCGGTTTGAAATCCTTCACATCTGTCAGTTTGACTACTTCGCCAGTGGCGTTCTCATTCCTCCTGAGTATTCTTTCGGCTCTTTTGTCCAATCCACCCATCACCAGGGAACAAATCAAGGAGAATAAACAAGTGGTACCAGCTGCAAAGTTCGTTTATGTTCAATGGATGATATCAGAAAGTAAAGCACCGTCTATAGCGGTGCAAATGCAAAGCAGAGGTTAGGTAAGGTTAGTTCAAACGTCTAAGTTGAATTTCATAAAAAGTCACGTCACAACTTGAATATTTTTTTTTTATCGCTTGGAGCGCACGAAAGGGAATCCCTATAATGTTCAAAGAACATCGTGAACTGGTTATATTCAATAAGAAAGCGTACATGTATTAAAGAGAGGTCAACGTCATCCTGGTTCTAGTTGTGTAAAACTGGCTTTGTATTTTTGACAACCTATGAAAACTGTCAACATTTGGTTAACAATCAAGCAAATAGGATAACATTATTCCAGATTTTTTGGAATTTTCTCTTCTCGTTTCTATAAAATAAGGATATGAATATCATTTCAATATACGTGTAGTAAGGACAAATCAGATGATTTGCCCCAAAATGTCACTGCGTTTGAAGAAATTTCCTATCAGAGAGCCTAAAAGTAAAATTCACTACTTACTTAGCAAAGTGAAAATTCAATATTTTTTCTATATACCTTTATTTCTCTTCTCCAAACTATTTTCAATACAAATCGTCACTGCCAAACTATAAGCAGAGCACAACTTCCAAAGAGAAATATTTTGCATTTTCATGTTGAGAACGGAAGCAGATTCGTTCCCGAAACGTGTAAAGATAAGTAATAATTCGTATTTTTTCAATATATCTATATTTCTTTCCTTCAAACATTTTTTCAAAGTGTCACTGACGAGCTACTGGATTTTTCTTTTAGGCTTCCTGATAGAAAAATTTGTTGTGACATTGACAGTGACATTTTGGGGCAAATCATCTGATTTGTCCCACTACAAATATATTGAAATAATACGCATATTTTTATTTTATACAAACGAGGAGAAAATCCCAAAAAATCAAGTAGAATTAAAAAAGACAGTATCAATAAGGATTAAAAGTTCATGTCATAAAAAAATCAACTCGAATTTGTCCAATCTTTATCTAGATATTCTTGAATACAATAATATGTTTTTTTGATGAACTGTTCTCTCCTAAAATGAATTGAAGATACGATATTTCTGAAATCGACTGGAAGATGGTTATATAATTTGACAGCATTATAAATCAATGACTTTTTATTTAAGCGTTTGTAGAAAAAAACTTTTTTTTCTACAAACGCTACAAACAGAAATGTCATTCTTTGACAGCATTTGCGCTCGTGAGCGGAAATATTGAAAAAACGCTCGCGCATCTCTGTAACCTATACTTATCTATTCTTGAAAACCCCCAATTCTTTTATGATGGAAAATAGTGACAGTGAATCATCAAACACACCTCCTGATATAGCAGAAAGCGCAAGAGTTTGAATCTCTTACCGGAGAAATCAAGGAAGAAATATGAATTACAATATAATATATTCATAAATTGGTGTCACTCCGAGATGGTGAATATGTATTCAGAAAACGTTTTACTGGTTTATTTTGGTAAAAATCAAAGACTTTGAAGTCATCAACTCATTGGTCTATATATTCGATGGTATACTTATAAATGCTTGAATGTTAAAGATAATATCGGAATCAATAAGTATCTGAAACTTATCGCATTTCTGAAGAAACAATCTATTGGATATAAAGCGAGAAAAATCCAAAACATTCACCGCTGAAGATATTTATACCAACAAATTTCTACAAGAAGCTCCCGATGAAGCATATCTGTTGAAAACGATGAATTAATTATACTTTATATTTAAACTCTTTGTTGTCATCAGAAAGACAGTGTATCTTTATTTTATTGCATCAATGAGTAATGTTCAATTTGATTGCAGAGTTTATCGTACTATGGCTCAGAGGTCTGAAGCTCAGGTTGCCACGCTCGTGGTCCAGTTTCAATTCTTGGTAGGCCCGACATTTTTTTCTGGCTTGTCAGTTATTTCAATTTTTCTCTTTTTGTTTCCTTTGGACATATGGGATAATATGGATAAGAACTTTATCAACTATTTCAATCGCTCAAACTTTCAGGGCAGTTATTTCCAAAAGCTGCGCTAGTAGAAAAAATCTTGTGTGTATTTCGAGTACAAAGTGTTATTGCCGCTCTCCAAAGATTACCGCGCCTCGCTCCGCATCGCGCGGTAACTTTCTTTGTCGAGCGGCAATCTATCACTTTGCGCTCTAAATACACAAATAGCTATTTCTTATTTTGACCCAAAGAATATGACCCCGAAGTTTTGTGCAATATTAATGGAACACCCTGTATAAGTAGCACACTTCTCCTGAAGAATCTGAAGATGCTAACATAGTTAGTGGTAAAACAGCGTAGTGTATGAAATCAAGTAGTAAATAATAAACTTGTACTTACCTAAGAATAGAACGATTCCGAGAACTTGTTTCACATTGGAATTTTGGTCATTGACATAGTTATATAGTTGTTCCATGACCAAAAAATTGACAGTGCTACCAACCCTTGCGAAGCTGAGTTGAAGTCCAAAAACCATGTTGAGCTCTTTGCCTTTGAACCAGAGTACCGCATAATTGTTTTGAGCTACTGTCAAAGATTCTCCACCAATTCTAGAATATAACAAAATAGTGGTGAGATGAAAAACTCGTATTTTCCAAAGAAACAATAAGGTTTCAATAAAAAAATAATAAGGCGTGATAGTAGTTTCAAAAAGGACTCTCGGTATATTATTCTATCGATGAATACCATTGTCTGCTAAGTATGGAGAAAAAATCAGTGACATACTAATATACTGAGCATGATCAGATGAAAAACGTTTTGGTTTCATCTCTCAAGACATTTGCCATAGACTCATGACGTATAATATGAATATCGAGCGAATATACAGGATGACATGGTAAATTGCATAGTGCCACACAATAGAGGACACTAAAATAAGGAAAAAAGTTCCTATGAACATGGGTCCGCAAGGCATTCGGTTAAAAGATACGGGGTGTTGAATTTTAATGGAAAAATGTATTGAAGTACAAGGGCAACAATTTGAACATCTTCTAAAAGCTTGATGTTTTGTTCTGATTGATCATATTTTTCATCATACCATTAAAATGTAATTGTTGAAGTATTTATCATTGTTTTTGCAAAAGTTACTTTGACGCTTTTTGAATAATTTGCGTGCATTGTCGGCTTTTAGATGCATTTGTACTGGAACAATGGGCTTATATCACAAAAAAAATTTATTTCATAATTCGATAGAACTCACCCAAACTAGCTCACCACCGCAAACCGTTTCTTGCTGTGAGCTCCCTACGTTTTATCAAAAATTATTGAAATCCCCGATTTTTCGGACCTCTGAAAACGAGGCGATGATGTGACGTCAAAACCCTAATACTGAAACAAGACTATTCCAGACAGAGATGAATGATACATGATTTCTGACAGAGTGAATTAGCGCGAGATCACAGTTGAAAGAATTGATATATCAGTTGCCTCAGTCTCCGTCGAGCTTTTGTTATTTTCTTTCAACTATGACGAGATGAGGTTTCTACGTCATAAGAGGGTCCGTTTTCAGATGGTACTATTATTTATGTCCAAAAATAAAACATTCCAGTTAATTTTTCGATCGAATTATGTCGTCAATCATTATTTATGTATAAAAGGATCATTATAAACATGGTTTGAGTTCAAAGTTCTACTAAGGTGTACACGCCCATTGCTCCTAGCGACTTGGACAAGGTATACCTTTCTTAAGTATAAAAGAAGGGATAAAAATCATTTTTCGTCGAAAATGACATACAGTGTATAGCAAAAAAGTTACGACCTATTCAATAGGGATGGAACCCTGTATGTAGCGCCCTCTATCAGTCATCACAAAACTAAGATCATATTTGAATTTAGCATGATAAAAAACTCCTGTATACCACATTTGATCCATTTCTTGCGTCTCTGGCTAAAGATATATTCAAAGAAAACAAAACAAAAATTAAATTCAACACCCCGTATTTTTTTATCGAAGGCCTTGCGGACCCATGTTCATAGGAACTTTTTTTCTTATTTTAGTATCCTCTATTGTGTGGCACTATTCAATGTACTTTTTTCTATGTCACCCTGTATATACCGACTGGGTGTATCTACCAGTTTTAAATATACCAATTCTATTTTTACATGAATAAGGATCACCCTGTACTTTATATTATTCATGATTGGCCTTGCACTTGATTCCACTAGAGCTTATCACATTCGTTTCTTACCAAAAAATTTGAATCCTGATAACGATCTCTACCTAACAGTAAATGGAAAATCAATAGAAAGCAAAGAGAATATGAAATTTTTAGGTAGGTATTGTACTTGATAGAAAACTTTCATGAGAAGATCATATCATCACTCTGGGTTCAGAAAATTTAAAATATTAACGCTACCTTGCCTATATGGGTCCTAAAACTAATAATTTTTATAAAGAATAATGAAAATAAATTTTCGAAAAATGACCAGATACATGGATATGATACAATAAAATAGAATAGAATAGAATAGCGTTTATTGACCACATTACATACATAAGTACATTTGAAGTCATTTAAAAACATAGTTAGTTGAGATCAAATTTAGTAAAATACATCAGCACATCACAGTAAAACTACAGCACGACAGAAATTCAATTAAAATTCAATATTGATTGACACTATAAAAACAATGCTCCAAGAGGAACCCTCTAGAGAATCTGTAGAATTCGTTGAGGGACATATTTTTTATTTGTTTGTCTTTGAACATAATATTTAATTTGTTGTAGAGATTCAGATCAGATTTATTGTTTTGAGTTATACAGATTCTTGAGTACGGAGTCAGTAGATCGTCCGCCTGCCGTGTGTTGTAATCATGAAGATTCGAGTGTTTAGATAATTTGGGCAACTTTTGGGCTTACGCTAAGCGTAATATATCCATCAACGATATTCTGTAGTCTTCACCACACGATGTGTATTCTTTTGTGATTAAATTATTTGATGATTAATTTCTTTCATCTGTATTGTATACACACCTATTTACTCAATTGTTTGATTAAACCTTTTTCAGTCAAGGTCAAGTGGAAGATGAACAATTGATTATATCAATAAGTTATCAATTCTATCAGAAAATCAGCTACTATTATTGTTGATATGAAAAAAAAATGATGATTTCCACCTGCGAATCAACAATGAACAAAAATCTGTGATAGATATTTACGTAATCAGTTAGGAAACGCGTTACACAAAATGGCGTTTCCTAACGTGTCACGTACAATATTTTTTCTAATTTTGACGAAACATTTCGCATGAACAAAAATAATGGCCAGTTTTACATGAGTTCTGCCGACTCTTGTTGTGTTAAATGAATGAATGAAATGAACATTACATCACCAGTTATGTAAAATTTTACTTTACGCAACTGGTTACGTAAAGTAAGACGTTTCAAAACTTCCGTCAGTTTTGAAAAGTGTCACATTACATGTCAAAATTAGAAAAAGCTTCTTTTCTTATATACAAAGTGTAGAAATAATGTGCATACTCAATGACATGTGCATGTGCTATAATCACACATACAATAATCCAATGGATGTCCGTTTCAGGTGCATGATCACTTTTTTATTTGTTCACATTATATTTTAGGACAAGTGTGTGTGTTCTCTTATTTATTATTTTTTAGAAAAATTATCCATCGTTATATGATCTGAGATATTCAATAGCGATTCAATTTGCTCAGTTAATCCAATGCAGTGAAACAGCTCACATTTGTCTCTTGGAACCAAATTATAGAAGAGTAAATACGCTCAAAATTTATCGGGGGATAGTTTTATTTATATTGTCCGAAACTTATACATAAAATGTACAATTCATCTACAGTGTGTGTATAATAGGTGTACTGTAGATGTCCAATTCACGTCCAATTCATGTCCACTAGTTGTACAATTCATGTCCACTAGTAATACAATTCATTGACAGTGGTTGTACAGTAGGTGTATAGGATGGACATCCAATAGATATCTAAACTGATGGCCATTAGATTAACAATGGATGTCAATTGGACAGAAGTTGGACATTTTGAGCCATCTTATGTATAGGGTGAGTCATAACTATTGGGACATAGGCTGAGGGCAGATTATTTGGATCAAAATATGGCTCAATGATATATTGCTGTGGAAAAAGATACAGGGCGTTTCAATCGAATAAGTTTTGACTATAAACTCGCACCAAAATTCATTAAATGACAAGAAAAGTAATTCACCAGCAAAAATTATCTGACAGTCCAAAGCACACTCTTCATAATTGAAATAATATTTGAAATCCCCTTCCGAGACTTTGAACTATTCAATTGCGTTTTTCTCGAAAACAGATGAAAATATCGTGTTTTAACAAGAGTACCAATATTACGTAGAAATGATGTTTATGTCATATTTTCTAATTGAAATCACTAACAAGTTTCGGCAAAAAAAGGTTCAGTCGATTTCATAATCATTCACGTGGCGCCCCCTGTTACAAACTGTAGAATAATACATCAACTAATATCCCCTGTATAAAATTATGCCTCTGTACCGATTTTGATAATAATTGATGAATATACAGTGAAATTATTAACAAAAAACGAAACAATATATTCAATTTCAACGCCCTGTATCTATTTCCACAGCAATATTTTATTGAGGCACATTCGGTCCTATCGCCATATTTTGGTCCAAACAATCCGCCCTTCTATGTCCCAATAGTTATGACTCACCCTGTATATCCAGCATGTCCATGTACGCCTATTCAATGTACATCCATTGAATAGATTTGTGATATTAGGGAGTCATTTTCTGAAAAAATGTCCAGGTGGTCACTTGCCCATTATCTTGTGTTTTCCTAATGGGGTTGTACCTACCACCATACCACATGGTCGAATAAGCATCTCAAACCGATCTCTATGTAAAAAAGTTATGTGTCTCGAAATTTTGAAGGTACTAATTCGAAACATCAGTCAGAAATGACTTACATATTCGAGAATTCTTGTCGGTGGCCTAAAATATACGGAAATGTCAAATGTATGTAGTAAATATTCCGTTACCCACGTAAACATATAAGGCCAGAAGTCTCTGACGTAAACAGCTCGTGACGTCAACTAAGAGAGGCCACACACATTTTCTATGGCGTGTCGATTCATCGTCAGAGTTGCCAGACCTACTATTTTAACAGTAGATCTACTGTTCTACTGTTCAAGACAAACGTCTGAGGCTGCTTTCACATACGTACACAAGTTTGGGTCCCTTCCGGATGGAATGGTTCCGTGAGCTCCGTTTGTTATCCCTGTTTTGCGCAAATATCTCTAAGAAATAAAACAGTATGGGAGCAGAAAATAATAGAGAGAAAAGTCAAAAATTTTTATATATTCGATTTATTATGGAGAGATACAGAATGGTGGAAGATTTTTTTTGACGCAAGTGAATATTTGGCTAGAGGAATGGAGGAAAACGGCAATGAAAACTTTTTCAATTATTTAAGAATGTTGCCTGATATGTTTTATCTATTGCTCGGACTCTTGGAGACTACACTCGAAAAAGAAACCAAGAACCAGATTAGAAATTACGTCTCGTTATTTGGCATCTGGTGACAGTATGACTTCTATTTCATATCTTTTTCGTGTTGGGATTTTTAGAGTTTCAGAAATTAATCATGAAACATGACTTCTGAGGCATTAAGAACACATCCATAGATAACCTACGAACACATCCCACAAAGTTCATGAGTTGTCGACGGTTTAGGTAAAATCGGAAAAATTAAAATATTTACATAACCTAGCTTTCTTCTCATCACGGACAAATTAAACGGAGGAAACTTAACGTTGAGCCAACTGGGTACGTTGCGATTGCCGACTCATCCGTGTCGATTTCTATTGGTCAATATTCATCACATGATCCAACGGATCCGTGAAAACGGATGCATGTGAAAGCAGCCTGAATGGTCATATGTCTTGATATGACATAACTACCTAATATGTAACAACTCGTGTAACAATATGGATAATTAATGGGACACCACAGTAAGAAGATGTATGATGAAAATTCAGTCTGATTAATGACAATTAGCTTTCATTTTCAATTAGGGTTGTGGTTTTTACAAATTTTATTTTAGATTTTATTATTTTTATTTTTTGTTCGATTTTAGTAGGTTCAGAGACCAGACATACTTTTTTTTTGTTTATTGTATAGGTTTCTATGTTTTTCCATTTATAATAGCAAATTGGTATGATTATTGGAATCTACTGTTCAGTTTTGATGATATACTGTTTTTTCCTCACCCATCTACTGCTCCAGCAAATTTTCATCTGGCAACACTGCTCGTCGTCAGTTCGATCAGGTATGTTTGGGAAACGGTCGCGTCCCGAATTCTTTTGTTGTTTATTCATCAAAATAATTGGCGGAAAAATTACTGTTTTGCGAAATATTTTGTGTTGTGATAGGCGAAATAACAATGCCTTTCAAGTGTTGTGTTCCCTTTTTTCGGGGGAATTATGAGGGTAGTCCAAAAGTTCATGCTTTTAAGGCGGATTCATGCAACATTCATTATAATTACATTTTCACTACATTAAAATTACATTTTCACTAGCCGCGGACTACCCGTTCATGCAACGCATGCTCATAATGAACTAATTATTCGAGGTTATGTGATCTATTTGAGAATATGGATTTATTTTGAATATAATATCTGAGGTGAATCACAAATAGTTTTGTGGAAAAAATGATCATTCAATGATCTAATCTTGCAAATCAGGCGTTTTCACTAGAACTATAATGTAATTATAATGAAAAGTTAGAGGTTGGTCAACTTCTTAGCGCACTAATGTGATGAAAATGTAATGAAAATGTGTTAATGTGTGCATGAACGCATTCTATGACATAGGAGTACTCAACATTTTTAATTTATAATGTAATGAAAATGTAATCATAATGACTGTTGCATGAATCGGCCTTTAGTTTCCCGTTTACTCCATTTAAGTACAGTATAGTAAACAGAACTCAATTTATAATGATGAATTAATAATAGAAGACAATTATTACTCTCTTACAAAAAGTATGAGTAGAGGAAAATTACTCTATCCGCAAGCTTGGATTGTGCAGTTAGTTTTGTATTCGTATATTACATTCAACAAAATCATCTCTGAATTCGAGGAAATATTTTTGAATGTTCATGATAAACGGGCATTTGTAACTCAATACATTCTCAAATTTCTTTCTGAAAACGGTCATTTGCCTCGTGGCAATGAATGCAGAATTCATTCCAATGATTAAATTGCAACTATCATATTGAAATGTACTACAAACACTCTACTTAAAAATAAGTGTTTCAAGTCTAACGATCAATTGGGTAAAAAATCCAAAAACAGGAAATTGAAAACACTCACTGGCTAATTTTTTAGGTAATAGGAATTCTCCAAGATGAATAGATAACAAACGGCATGTCTATCAAAATAATATACATTTACCACAATTTTCATTAGATCAATCTCACGATAAGTTTATGTTCTGCGGGCCCTATACAAGTAGGTGTGAAGTTTGCCTCTAATGAGATTGAATCACTATAATTTTTGCCAATATATTCAATTCGAATGGGATGCTGTAGGTGGGTATTTGTGTTTTATACTGGTTTTTGCTCTGAAACTTCGTTTTTCCATGATATAATCAAATAGGATGCGAAGAAGGGCTCAGTTGACGACTGGCATCCTCTTTTAAACGGAAGACCTTCAAAAAAACAGCAAAATCGGCTCAATAATGATCTAAAACTAGAATTGAAATACGCGGTCGCCTTATAGCGCCATAAGCGCTTGTCGTTTCGAGCCGCTGGTTAGGCCTAACTAAGGTGACGTCACCACCGAGCCTGCGGGCCTTATAATCTCGATGGTAACGAATATTCTCGGTAATATTTCATGAGTACCTATTTCTAGATGATAAAGAAAATGTGTTCCCAAAAAAGGCTCTTTATATTTGGAACCCCAATCCCCACCCAACTCACCCAAATATGAATCGACCTACAAGCATCAACCAGTATTGATTGAAGAGGGCCCCTGAAGCAAAAGCTATCTGTCCAATCAGAGTCAGCCCCACATAAATGTTGGAACCCAGTCTTATGCCAAATACTCTGTCAATCAAAAATCCACCTACGAAGTTGAGTACCACATTTGGCCAGGAATATAAAGAATACAGAAGAGTATACTGAGTCTCTGTGAGATTCAAGTCGCTCTTAATGTGATCTTGCAAGGAAGCAGGATTGTCATAACAAAAATAAGAACCTGAAAGTATGAAAAAATATAAGTGAGGTTGGGAGATACGTGGAAGTGGTCAAATAGATATTTATGTACTAAGTGCGTTGTACAGTGTCATTCATAAAGTTGGCATCATATGGGAAAACCTCATATTAATAAATACTGTCTGTAGGTTAATCAAGGAGGTGGTACATTCATTATTCCAAATTTTTTGGGATTTTCTCTCCTCGTTTCTATAAAATAAAAATATGAATATTATTTCAATATACGTGTAGTAAGGACAAATCAGATGATTTGCCCCAAAATGTCAATGCGTTTAAAGAATGTTCCTATCAGAGAGCCTAAAAGAAAAATTCACTAGCTTGTCATTGAAAATCTGTATTGAAAAAAGTTTGGAGAAGAGAAATAAAGGTATATAGAAAACATATCAAATTTTCACTTATATTTGGACGTTTCGGGACCGATTCTGCTCCCGTTTTCAACATAAGAAAAGATTATTTCAATAGCAAAGTCGTATCTGTCTTGAAGCTTTTCAGTTTTCATTAACAATTGGTGACGTTGGCAATCAAATGAGTTACAGGATGTTTTCATTAATTAATCTTGAATTTACCATTTTCATGTTCAGATTTTAGTAGTGATATAGACAGAACATGGTATTCACTACTAAAATCTCCCCAGCGAGCACAAACATCCCTGGGATGTTTTGGGATGTTTTGAAAATGTTGGCATGAAGATGTTATTTTGAGACGTAATATGCACTGACCAAAGAGGTCTTTGAAGGATATTGAAGTATTGTTTTTGTTCTTCTGTGGCATTTCTTTGTTTGCCTACTGAGAGGTATCCCTGGGATGTTTTGGGATGTTTTAGAAATGTAGGCATGAAGATGTTTTTTGAGGCGTAATATGCACTTCCCAAAGAGGTCTTATAAGGATATTGAAAGTATTGTTTTTGTTCTTTTGTGTCCTTTCTTTGTTTGCCCCACCACAACGTCTCGTTTTTTTTTTTAGAAGACTTATTGAGTATGTAATAATGATCATCAGATGCAAGATGTGTTGTTCGGTGCCTCAGTGTAATCAATATATTAACATTACAATTAGGTAAAATTACACCAATTTTCAAACATGGTAATCGTTCAGAGATTGCCAACTACAGACCAATAGCTATACTATCAAACGTGGCTCTAGTTTTTGAGATAATTATGTGTAACAGAATAACTTTTCACGTTAAAAATCAACTATCAGAATTTCAATATGGGTTCAGGAATGGTAGATCTACAACAGGAAATTTACTAGATTTTGTAAATTATACAACAAACTCTTTGGCAGGTGGTAGCCAGGTTGATACCATTTATACTGATTTCTCGAAAGCGTTTGATAAGGTAGATCATGCCATTTTGATTCATAAACTTCAATCATTTTCTCTTAGTAATACCTTCTGTAATTTCATTGCATCATACTTGAAAAACAGGGAGCAATATGTTACTGTACAAAATTATGATTCACAGCAGTACATAGCAACTTCTGGAGTTCCACAAGGGAGTACGCTAGGTCCACTGTTGTTTTTAATATTCATCAATGACATCACCAGCTGCATTAAACACTGTAGGGTCTTGCTTTTTGCAGATGATATGAAACTATTTTCAAAAATTGATAACTTGGAAGATGCTATGAAGTTGCAAGAAGATTTAGATAATGTCTTTCAATGGTCGCATACAAATCATTTACCTTTCAATGTCCAAAAATGTAAAGTAATTACATTTAGCTACAAAAAACAAACCATTGAATTCAACTATAAGATGAACACAATTGATTTAGTTTCAGAACATTCTGTGAAAGACTTGGGCATCATTTTTGACCAAAAATTATCATTCAGTGAACATATAACAAGTATAACACGAACATCCTATAGAAATCTTGGCTTTGTTATTCGAAATTCCAGAAAATTCAAGTCAGAAAAAACGCTCAAAGTTCTTTACAACAGTTTTGTTCGGGCAAAATTAGACTATTGCAGTATAGTTTGGTCTCCTTTATATACGAAGTATATACAAATGCTTGAAACAGTTCAGAAAAAGTTCATTAGACAAGCAGATTTTATTATACAAAGTGTCCATATATCAAATTATCCCTCAAATCTCAATAAATATAATTTAATGTCCTTATTCAATAGAAGAGTGTACTTCACCCTGATGTATCTATACAAAATATACAACAATATGGCGCAAGACTGTACTACTCTTCCATCTGTAAAGTTACAAATTCCAAACTCAAGAACTCGGGCAAGTAATAACAAAACATTTGCAGTGACTACATCTCGGACGAATTACCAACTGAAATCTCCACATGTAAATATGGCTATATTCTATAACGAAAATCAAACGTACTGTGACATATTTCGAGATAGTGTAATCACATTCAGAAATCAAATAAAAAATAAATTATCACAAAATAGTGAAACTGTACTAATTCAGTAATTATTCTTATCTGGTTAATACTTTGTATATATTATTAGATTTTAGTTAGATTTTAGTCAGGTTGTTTGGACTAGTACTGTATTTTTTGGAAAAACAGTATCATTACTGTGATTGATGCAGAAAATGAAGTACTATTTCAATCAACCATTCATACACACACAACATGTAATTGGGGTAAAACCTGTTTGTTGGAATAAATAAATAAATAAATAAATATAAAAGTACGAATTTATCAATACACAGCTTCTACGCAGTTGCAAAATTATGCATTGTGGAGAACATTTCAAAAATTGGGAAACCTTTTTCCAACCATATGTCTGTAACCGATTAAGAAGGTAATTTCATATCAAGAAAATATTTTTATGTTCAATCTATTTTTAATGCATTTTTTCATTCAAGGGAAATGGAATCCTAATGCAAAAGTTCATTTTGACAAAAGGCTTCAGAAAAGTACCTCGAAAATGTATTTTTACAGCGATTTAATGTGCGCAAGACGCATGAAAATGTTTTGTTGTGTCCATGAAAAGGCTTTAAAAAGAACTAGGGAGAAGGTAGTTTTGTGACATATCAAGGACATCTCGATAATTGCCGCCTGCGGCGGACATTGGCTGTTCTATAATAGTTCTATTTATGTGTGAACAGAACATCGCAGTGGAGGTTCAATGTCTCGAAATCTCGTACTTTTAACATCTCTGAGATGTTTTTGTGCTCGCTGGGTCAACATGAAAATGGTAAATTCAAGATCAATTAATGAAAACATCCTGTAACTCATTTGATTGCCAACGTCACCAATTGTCAATAAAAACTGAAAAGCTTCAAGACATTGATACGACTTTGCTATTAAAATAATCTTTTCTTATGTTGAAAACGGGAGCAGAATCGGTCCCGAAACGTCCAAAGATAAGTGAAAATTTGATATTTTTTCTATATACCTTTATTTCTCTTCTCCAAACTTTTTTCAATACAAATTGTCACTGACAAGCTAGCGAATTTTTCTTTTAGGCTCTCTGATAGGAAAATTCTTTAAACGCATTGACATTTTGGGGAAAATCATCTGATTTGTCCTTACTACACGTATATTGAAATAATATTCATATTTTTATTTTATAGAAACCAGGAGAGAAAATCCAAAAAAAAATGGAATAAACTCATATTAATAATTCATTTTCAAAATTCGACTTGAGCATTTAGTTTTGCTTCTAAAAAGATGAAAAATTGCCTACTCGGTTGAAGTCACGTGACTTTCGCTACATGCCAAAAGTAACATTTTTTCAAATTAATCCCTGAAAATAGGTTAATTTGTTCGAATTTCAAAGATACATTTTTTTCTATTCCAATTTTACACAAATGTGTCTTGAATCTGAACGTTTCATTGCAACTTTTAGTTCTTGATATTTTTTGATTTCTTCTAATTAATTGTAACTTCGACAAAACTTCCTAAACTTTGGTTAGATAAGTATAGTTGTCTGATGATATTTTGATAGATGATTTTGGCATCATTTTAATACTCAAAAAATTAATTTGAATAAATTTCGCTCCTGAATTTCGTACACCGTTTCCTAATAGTTCATTCAGGCCGAGTCAGCTTAAATTGTTTAGAAGCAGTAGTCTCTTCTGTTCTATCAAGTAATTTTCTGAAAAATAAACTTTCTAGGAAGAAGGTTCATTTAGGCGAAGTTTGGTTATATTTTGTTTAGGAAAAATAGTCTCCCTTCTTATGCATATGCAGAATAGTATATTGTGCAACAAGTGGGAAAAGTGCTTTTCCCCACATGTTGCACACTATACTTTTTCTACAACTGCACTTATTCAAAGAATCCGAGTGATGTAACTTATTGGTATTCATTTTATAATGTGGCACTATGCCACATTGAATATTGTGACCAAAGAGTAGACGCCTTTCCTAGTTCCACAAAGTATTTCAAAAAAGTACCCTTTCCGAAAAAAAATTAATTTCTGTATTTTTTTAGATTCTATAAATTTTTCGTACCAATATGCCAATTCATACTTTTTTCTTGAAATTTCCGGAAACAAATCCAACTTTCGCAGCTTATTCCATTATCTCTGTCTCTGACGGTGTATTTATCAAAATCGTCACATCTCGGTATACAGTGTGTCCCACTTACCATGCTCACCATGGGTATCTTTTTAACGGTGAGAGATACGAGGTCGGTTAAATGACACCAAATGTGGAGTTGACCAACTATAATGTGAAAAAATATTTTGATAAAATCTATTCGTTTTTGTTTTATACGCAAAAAACAGATTTTGATCATTTTCATGTCTCCTTTGTAACTTCTTTATTTATGAAAATAATCAAATAGGAATTTCACATTCTCATGGCAGTTTTTCAAAGTGATTTCGAAAAAAATATGAAATTTATACCAACTCTTCTAGAATTTGAGATATCAGCACCAACTTTGGTTTTTCAAATGTAGGTCATAGCTCACTATGACTTAGTTACAAATAACTTTTTTTCTCTTACAGATGATAAGTCGCAGTTGCAGTCGCTGTTGATTACAACGGAGTTATCGTCATTTATACAAAAACAAAAAATTATTTGGAAGCCGCCATCCTGAATTTATAAATTATAACAAAAAAATCATGAACTCCGACCTCAAAAACCCCCACTCACCAATTTTGAACGGAATCGGACGAAATCTTGTCCGCCATCTTGGAGCAGCCATTTTTTTTATTTCAACAAAAATTCCATAACTCCGATTAACTTGAAATTTGGCAGGTGTTCATAGTTTCGGTGACAATACATAATGGAATTTTTGTTGATATTGAAAAAAAAGGCTGCTCCAAGATGGCGGACAAGATTTGGTCCGATTCCATTCAAAATTAGTGAGTAGGGGTTTTTGAGGTCGAAGATCATGATTTTCTTGTTGAAATTTTTAAATTCAAGATGGTGGCTTCCAAATAATTTTTCGTTTTTGTATATATGACGATAACTCCGTTGTTATCAACACAAAACTATTACTGCGAACTGCGACATATCATCTGTGAGAGAAAAAAAGTTATTTGTAACCGAGTTTGTAACTAAGTCATAGTGAGCTATGACCTATCTGTTTTTTGCGTATAAAACAAAAACGAATAGATTTTATGAAAATATTTTTTCACATTATAGTTGGCCTTGACAAACTCCACATTTGGTGTCATTTAACCAACCTCGTATCTCTCACCGTTAAAAAGATACCCATGGTGAGCATGGTAAGTGGGACACACTGTATACATCATATTATTTATTATGAATGGTTGGAATAATGCGATGTCTATCGAAAACACTAATGAGAACTACCCTGAAGAATTTAAAAAATTTCTTCTGACAGTTGTGACAACTATTTAAAGCTGAACAGCAGCCAAATTTTGGTCGATTTTTGTTGATTCTCCATGGAAATGTATGTGGTGTTGGCAAAGTGCCGTGAGAAAAAATATTTCTCACAGTATGGGCAATACATGGTTTTGAAACTAAGTAAGCTATGAGAAATGCGCTACTTTTCATAGCAGAAGTAGAAAAAGGATATTTTCGTTACTCAACCCTCCGGCAAACAGAGTAATGGCTGAAAATGGAAGTTACGCTGTTTGCCGACAATACGTGAAATGACTAGGCATTTCAGGGAATGACGGATTTCAATAATTGACGCCGACATATACAAAGTAAGAAGTTTCATTGAATACAAATTCCATCAATCTTGGTATATCACCCTGTATATACTTTTTTTGTGGAACTTCAAGGAAAAACTTTTGTCATTCATGATCACTTTACAAGTTGATATACGAGGTGATACACAATAGAGTCACTGAATGCTATTCGCGATAGAAAATAAGCGTACGCCACCTATCGGAGTTCTTGAAAGCTGTCAAAGCGGCCTGTCAACTTTGTTTTCATTGGTTCACATTTGTTTTTTGTTTGTTTTTATTGGTCACATCATCAAAACCAATGACGGCTAAATATCAAGTAAGCTGCATGCTGAATGTCGATCGGCAGCTTACTTGATATCTTCTTGATATTTAGCCGTCATTGATCAAAACACACCGCTCAGAAGTGTTCAAGTTGTTGCCGTGAGGTGGAGCGACGTGTTATTTTCTATCGCGAATTAGTTAAATAAGAGTTGTTTGGACACAGGAATGACAACTGTTAGTGTTTTTGAATGTTTAGATTTATCAAGTTACACACCTTGCGTTGTGACCAGAGCACCATAGTCGTCCTGCGCCTTTTTATTCAAAATTGTCTGAATTTGACAATGCATTTCATGAACGTCTGAATTGAAATATAATTTGATAAAATATTGAGAAGAAGGCATGAATGAAAATGTCCTGCTGTGTAATTAACTGTGGAAAAGATAATGGATTTCATTTATTTAATTTTCCAAAAGAAATATCAACCATTCTCATATGGAACGGATGTGTGAAACGGCCTGGATGGAAAATTAATTTGGAGACAAAAAGAATTTGTGAGGTACAGGGTGATTCACCATAAACGTCCCCCCCCCCTCCAGCTCAGTTATTTCTGTACAGATTTCAAAATTTTAAATATCATCTCAAATGATTTTCGATAAAAATTTTTTCCGCTACATCGAAAAATACAGGTTGCTCGGAACAAATGATCTACAGGGTACTATTTGTTTTTTTTTATTGGAACACCCTATTTTTCATTGTATTTTTAGATTCTTCCTGGAGAGCTGATTTGATCAATGTATCACATTAGGGGTCTAACGAGAATAATTACAGAGATATAGGGTGTTCAAAATCGAGATTTTTCAACTTTAGAATTTTTTTGTGACGAAACTATTCATTATCGGTCAAAACGGCTTTCACATCCGTATCTTAACTTTTGATTTACTATCTACTGACATTTAATGATTGGAACAGATACAGGGTGATCAGAATTCTGAATCTTGAACCACCCTGTAAATGTTCCAATTAAATGTCAGTAAATAGTAAATCAAAAGTTGAGATAGGGACAAAGAAGCCGTTATGACCAATAATGAATAGTTTCGACACAAAAAAATCCTAAAGTTGAAAAATCTCGATTTTGAACACCCTATATTTCTGTAATCATTCCCGCTAGACCCCAAGTATGATACATCGATGAAATCAGCTCTACAGGAAGAATCTAAAAATACAATGAAATACAGGGTGATCCATTTGAAAAAATCAAGTAGAACTCTGTAGATTGTTTGTTTTGAGCACCCTGTATTTTCTGATGCAACGGGAAAAAAATGTCTGAAAAATCATTTCAGATTATTTCTTAAATTTTTAAATCGGTTCAAAAATGAGTGAGCTAGAGGGGGGGACATTTATGGTGAATCACCCTGTACATACATTGAAATCCACTTCTTATGACAGGAGATTAGAATGAAACTATATTTTAGCCCATTTTTTAACAGAAGATTTTAAGATCTTTTAGAGAGAATCTGCTGTTCCATCCATTTAGAAAACAGACTATTCAAAAAAATCTATTATTATCATCACATGAAATGCAAAACAAAATCATCATGGAGAAATTGGAATTTATTGCAAGACTATGTAATGAAATTGAAAATTTGAGAATGAAACTGAGGAAATCAAGTAAATTGCAATGAGATATGGTTCATGATCATGATAAGCATCGTTTTTATTTTTTTCTGACGACAGAAGACACTGTTTTGTTCCCATTTTTGAAGCTCTACAAAATAACATTGAGACTTTTTCCATATGACATTGTCCATCAAATTGAAAGTATAGATAAGTTTTCAATATTTTGCAGATGTTTGTTTGTCACCCTGTATAGCCAGATGTCACCATGTATACCCAATGGATTTATCTTTAGAATTAAGGAAACCACATTCAAATATGTGTAATTTTTGCGAAAATATGGGGTTCAATTGATGAGGAGTTTATATTTATTTCAACTGGTTTACTCAGATGTAAAAACTTCACAAACGATAAGATTTCCATAAAATTATATATAATATATTATAAAATATAAATTTTGTGGAAATCTTATCATTTGTGAAGTTTTAACATTTGCCATGAATTTTCATCAAGTAATAATGGTTGAGTCAATTCAAAAAATTGGTTTACTCAGCCTGCAAATAAGGAACCAGGATTTTCCTTACAAAAATAGGACCATAAATATACCTTAAGTTGTGAAAATTGATCATGCTTCCCGAAAAAAAGTGATATACAGGGTGATATTGTACTGGAATATTTTAGTACAGAAATAAAATGATTCAGTTTGTGCACAGGAAGCAGTTTTGGTTGATATAATAAAAATAATAACAAATATGTAATCACTGGGGCAATCATAATATTTATATTTTATTATTATATATTTCCATGAGTTTCATAATAATACTCATTGAAGGGTAACAGGTTGACCAAACAAATTTTGCTGTGCTGCAGATTTTGTTACAATTAATTGATACACAATTTTTCATGTGATCTATCCATTTTGTTGACCCATTCCAGGACAAACTATGATCTGATCGATGTCCTCATTTGAGGATGTTTATCTACACAAAATTCATCAGGGAACAAAGGTTATCTTGAACAATGACTCTATTCAACAAAACCTCCACAAAAACTGTTACAAGGACAGTTATCAGTGATTCACACTTGTAGTATCATTGTTATAATGTATTGATTTATCTTAATATTCTAATGAGAAAAGATGAGAGCAATTTCATTGATGAAGATAAAATTGTGGAGGGCTAGAGTATCTGCTTGTTAACATTCAAATATTCTTAATAATTTACATAATACATTGTATACTTACCAAAGCTAAGGAAACACATGAAAATTAAAGCTACAAATCTATGGCCATTGCCCTTAGGGTGACTAAAAAAATTCAAACACCCCTTTGGGGGCGATTCATCTGTCGTCGAAGTTTCAGTTTCTTGAATATTTGGCCCTCCCTCCATGATAATTATTTTTGGGTCCAAATTCTAAATACAAACTTATTGATTACCCCTATTCACACAATCACAGCAATGACTAAATTCTAATTCGTCTTCAATATTATTATATCCACCCGCAATCAGTACAGATAATAGATAATTTTTAGTTCTTTGTATTATTTTATTATTTATCATCTTACGATTTTGACATATGTGAGAAAATCCTAACCTAACCTTTTTCTTCTTCTTCTTCGTCTTCTAGTTTTGTGGCCTCTTGTCAAAGGATATACAGCCAGTTATGGTATCTTTGCTTATTGCAATCTTCCCTGAAAGGTGCACACTTCTCTGATCTCGCTTCTGTGCATCTGGAAACTTTGTCCATGCCCTTCATGAGTAGGATGGGGGTTTACAAAGGTCAACGATTATTGTGGTTTTATAATATAATATGAGTGTTTTCATGCCGCCATGCTAAGCTTGAGGAATATTACATGATTACTTATGATGACATATCAATGACATACATGATATTTCTGCTGGGACCTTAACTATATATTGAAGGTCTATGGTCTATGGCACTCTATGGTGAGATGTTCATAAGTTGATAGGCTTCTTAATCTATGGGTTTCAAAAATGAAGCAGATGAATAATAATAAGACGAATAACCAAGAGTCTTATTACCTTTGTAAACCCCCCATCCTACTCATGAAGGGCATGGAGTGGCATGGACAAGGTTTCCAGACGCACAGAAGTGTGCACCTTTCAGGGAAGATTGCAATAAGCAAAGATACCATAACTGGCTGTATGTCCTTTGACAAGAGGCCACAAAACTAGAAGAAGAAGGAGAAGAAGTAGGGTTATAAAAATAAAAATATTTGGATTTCAAAAGGTTGGATAGTATCATCGAATTATCCGAAAATGAGTTCTGCAAGCAAAGTACGTATCATCAATAGTTTGTAATAATTGCTCATCCTGATGTACATACTTTTTCATATCAGGTTGGAGAAATATTCACTGCAGCAGGACAAGCATTCAATAGATTAGGAGATCTGACAATGCAGCTGCATCCAAACGCCGAATCTCCTACCGGGTAAGTTTATTTTATTTAGGAATCGATAATTCATATATATCATGTGTAAATCAAAAAATTTTCATAGAAAGTGGACTGACGAAGAAATTGAGATGCTACGGCAAGTTGTCAAACAATTTTCTGATGGTTTAAACCAGATAAGTGATCACATTAAGAGAAGAACAGTGTAAGTCCTCGATCACAATTTCTTCATGAGATCTGGTCAGTCTAACACAACTTTTTATTAACATTAGATCCCAAATTAGGACAGCCTTGAAGAAAAAAGCATTCGAGGATGCAGGCTTGCCAGTAAGGCCTGTAAATCAGGTACAGCAGCCACAAAATGTTCAGCAACAAACAATGATCAAATCAGAAGTGACATTGAATATGCTGAATGCTGCCGAGTCTGAGGTAGATGTGGAGGGACTTCATGAAGATGTGAAGTTGGAGTTTGATGGAGGAAATGAGGAGGTATCAACATAGATTTACAGTCTTTCAAATTAATTAACATCAGATATTGTTTTAAATATCTGATTATTTGTGGTAATTTTAATGTTGTATGTTTTATGATTAGTACCTAATAAGTATAAAAAAATGATAAAATATATTTATTTTGAATTTATAAATTTCTTTTCTATCCCAGGTTGTCTTGATAATTATCAGGAATGTTCATGCAATATTAATCTCAATTGTATTTCAGTGACAAATTGATCTAAGTAATGATCTTTGTTTCTATATCCACCACTTGCTTCATCATATTTTGTGAACCCAATTCAGCATTGAAAAATTGCATCAACTATCAGGTTCTTTCAAGTTCTTTTGTTTGAAGAAAAGCAGTTTTCTTTCCCACAAAGTTCTTTTACTCTCTGCAAGTTTTTCTAACCCACAATCATTCACTAAAATATTTTCAATGTCCTTTTCTACATTTTCCCTTATTTTCAAAGAAGAAAAATGAGGGAATGTGAAATCCTTTTGTTTCATTCTCTTTAGAGCATTCTTGTAACATTTCCATGGTTGAGGCTCTAATACTAGTATTTCACTTATACTAGAAACATATTTCAAAAAATTATATAATCCTGCATCACCATAGTTCAAATGTAGCCACATGGTTATAGAAAAACAAAACACAAAGCTGAATCTGATGGAGCTTTTGTCTTTCAAATAACTTTGGAAAACATGTTCCCTTTTTGTTTCATCCATAATGTCCAGAGACAGAAAAGTAATATCATCTGTTTTTAATTGGCTTGCTCTCTCTCCACAGCAAGCATATAAGTTTCTTGGTTCACATTTTCTTTCAAGAATTGGCTCAAGGACACAGTGAGATTCTGGAAACAGTTGTTGCATTAATTGAGAAGGTTTAAAATTGTGCAGATAATTATATTTTTGAGTTCTCTATCTCTATATTGTATATTTCTTACCCCTGCATTGCATCCAATGTCTAGTGCTGTGCATGTTTTGTCTGAAGAAGACCGGAAAATATCTTTTGGTAACAAATCTATTCTTTCCTCTGGTGGGTGAAACTGATAATAATTTATGAAATTTCCGTATTGAACAGCACCTGGATTTCCACCTCTGAATTTCAGTTTATCATTTTTTGAATTCATCAAGGAAAATTTTTGTTATCCTATTGAATGTGGTTGAATGATATCTCCAGATATGCCTCAGCAGCTTCACATGTTAGCAGCCTACAGTACCCTACCTTTTTCAGGTTATGGCAACAATACGACAATTTTTGCAGAAAACTATATTTTTTGAACTTCGGATTTAGAACGATAGGTGGCGCGAACGTTAACATTCGAGAATAATAACATTGATACGATACCCAGGACCCAGGGTTGCCATCTTAGCGGTTTTGTCGCTAAATCTAGAGTTTTTAGGGTAGGTGATTGCGACATTTCAACCTGATTTGCGACGTGTCGGAATTATAGCGTTTTCAACATAGTCATAGCGGTTGATATGGAGAAATTTCGATTATATGAATTGGTGAAGGCGAATATAAATAATTCACATCGAAACATTCGAGAAGTAGAGAAGAGAACCCAGCGAGCACAAACATCCCTGGGATGTTTTGAAAATGTTGGCATGAAGATGTTATTTTGAGACGTAATATGCACTGACCAAAGAGGTCTTTGAAGGATATTGAAGTATTGTTTTTGTTCTTCTGTGGCATTTCTTTGTTTGCCTACTGAGAGGTATCCCTGGGATGTTTTGGGATGTTTTAGAAATGTAGGCATGAGGATGTTTTTTTGAGGCGTAATATGCACTTCCCAAAGAGGTCTTAGAAGGATATTGAAAGTTTGTTTTTGTTCTTTTGTGCCCTTTCCTTGTTGCTCCACCACAACGTCTCATGCTTACGTCACAATACGATGAATTCTGATTTGTGATTTGTTTTCGATTTTGTTCTTCTTGTTCGCAATTGGCATTCGCGTTTTCAGCGTGTAACGCTTACATCACGCTGCTAACGAACAAAAGGGAATTTGGTGAAGTTTATTGTGTTAGAAGACTTATTTAGTTTGTAATAATGACCATCAGATGCAAGATGTGTTGTTCGGTGCCTCAGTGTAATCAATATATAAAAGTACGAATTTATCAATACACAGCTTCTCCGCAGTTGCAAAATTATGCATTGTGGAGAACATTTCAAAAATTGGGAAACCTATTTTCAATTATATGTCTGTGTGTAGTAAGCACTACTCAGAAACCGATTAAGAAGGTAATTTCATGTCAAGAAAATATTTTTATGTTCAATCTATTTTTAATGCATTTTTTCATTCAAGGGAAATGGAATATCCTAATGCAAAAGTTCATTTTGACAAAAGGCTTTAGAAAAGTACCTCGAAAATGTTTTTTTTACAGCGATTTAATGTGCGCAAGACGCGTTGAAAATGTTTTGTTGTGTCCATGAAAAGGCTTTAAAAAGAACTAGGGAGAAGGTCAAGGACATCTCGATCGGACATTGGCTGTTCTATAATAGTTCTATTCATGTGTGAACAGAACATCGCAGTGGAGGTTCAATGTCTCGAAATCTCGTACTTGTAACATCTCTGAGATGTTTTTGTGCTCGCTGGGAATGACATTTGTCAGGGTTTGCTTTCTTCAATTGAGCCACTTCTGCCACTTTTCAATGATAATTTGTATATACCATATGGTATGAAAACTTGTTATATATAGAAACCAATGTGACTTATAGCAATAAAGTCGCAGATCTGTACGATGTTGAACCAATCTCGATGGTTACGGTTGAACTAGAAATTTTAGTTGATACGTGGTTTGACAGGTTTATCAATGTGTGATTTGATCAAAGACATACCTCAAATACGATCAAGAAATATATTTTGTGATTTACCAATGTACCTACACTGAAAAAAAAGTCGGTATTAACTACCAAACGCTTATAGTAAAATAGGCGCCACTCACTGCTACTTTATCAAATATTACCAATACAAAATAGTATGATACTCATATATACTATATAGTATATTATGATCCAATTTTTTTCTGGAATTATTTGACGAATGTTGTGACTTGCGCCTATTTTATTGAGCGTTTGGTATATTCACTACCGTCTATTTCTCTCAGTGTACCAAATAGAACCGCATGAAAATATATAGGAAAATTTACAGATATTAAACAGATTCTGAATGAATAATGTTTTCTACGATTTCTTATCTGATGTTACAAACTAACTGAAAATGATGAAATATGATCAAAAATGTCGCTGAATCACGAGAAGAAGCCTTCATGTAGGTATACTATGAAGGTGAGCATCTTACATATTTTCACAATTCAAGTATTCTTGGATAGAGTAGCGTAGCAGTGTGATTTGAGGATAGATTTTACTCGATTCTTGAAAAGGTGTGAATTCATTGTTTTTATTGAATCGGGAAGTTTGTTGTAAAGTTGTAGATTGGGTGAATTTTTCTGGGAAGTAGTCAGTTTATATTTTGGCGGTCTAAGTAGTTCTGCATTCCTTGTGTTGTGGTTATGAATGTCAGAATGAGGCGATCAAATGAAAATGACACAGGAGCGACCCACCAAGTAATAAGCAGACTCAACAATGCATAATCAATATTATATAATGTCATCAGAGGCCAGTGATGTTTATCACACCATGTTAAAGGAATCTTTTTTACGTATCATCGCTAAATTCAATCGTAATTTTGACGCCATTATGACGTCAGTCGGACGTCACAGTTTGGGAATGAATGACGTCAATACGACGAGTAATATGACGTCATTGGGCTGTGACTCATTCACGTCATTATCACGTCATGCGACGTCAACTACTGACGTCACCTTGGTCATTCAAGTGACGTAAAAAAGACGTCACTGGAACGTCATCTGGTTGCTTGGGCTGTATTCACATCTCCCAATGAATCACCCCGTATAATCGTTTCGTAGCATTGAATATGGTTGATCAAAGACATCCCAATTGGATAATAAGTGACTTTGACCACCATATCTGATTTTTTTTTTTCAGCGAAACTGTTATTTTCGATAGTGATGAAATGTTTTCCCCCTTCGAGTTGATCAAGTACCTCCATTTTACGGTACCCCATACAATACTCGAAATGTTCATAAACGGTTCATCAAGATCACACCTTGTGTTGTATTAACATGTTGCTTACATAAGAAGCTCACCGCTTGCTTCGATGATTGATATGTTTCACTTTCATTGACCTTTTATTGTGTCTCTTCGATAAAGGAATGTTTCAAAATGGTATCATGATATGATGAAAAACAAATACACAAATAAACCAGCAGACAAAGCAATTTTTTAAGAATGGAGTAATTCTGAAGCAATACTCCTTATAAACTGGTTCAAAGTACAACAAACATTCACAAGAAATCACTATCCTTAGCATAGATTAGTTACGAAATGACATTCTTGTTTCAACAACTATATATTATGCGCTTATCTTTCAATAATGATACACTTATTTACCAAACACATACGTTTTTTCAAATGGAATAGGTACCTAAATTTCATTATACTTTTTGAGTTTTTGTTAGTCCTGAAAAGGACAAGTTCAATTTGAGTATTTGAGTATTTATATCAATAGCCATGAACAGTCATATGGTTTACATACATTTTTACGTACAAAATGAGCTTTTTCTACTCACATAACTAAAATGGCATTTAGCGTACGGATATGTACCACGCTAAATGATCGATTGATCACGGATTGACGATCTGTGATTTATTCATAATATTAAACACGTTACCATGGCAACACGATTTCTTAAACACATTACCATGGCAACACAGTTCATTAAACACAGCTTCAGTAATTTGAGACATGTCTGGCCTGTCAATTGTAGAAACTGTCAACTGTCATTTTCGAATTTTGTATCAGAATTATTCAAACAATTTTCGTTTGTATCCGAATTCTTCATTGAAAATATATGCACAATGTAGACGAAAGTGAAATCGAAGAGAATATTTTGGTACTTGCATATCTCCAAGAAGTGTAAAAATGAAACATCCATCTTCGAGAACAATTAATTCATTCTGCGCTAAGCATGACGATAAATGTGAAACAAAAGTTAGTATGCAATGGACTGGACACATCTACAACCAATACACTTATTCGTGTCTCGCTGGTTGCTTGCAGTTGCATGTATTATGTTCTAAATTCCCATTTCTTTCGAAATCATTTTGTAGGTTGGCAGGAACAGCAGGTATTTTGATGTAATTTTCGGAGTTCGTAGAAAAAGCATAGTATGTAACGCGTTTATAAACCCTTCTAGACACTCGTTTATTAAACACTCGCTCCGCTCTGCTCCGCTTTTTTCGAAATTTTATTTTTTGTACTTACGTATTTTTGTCTGAAAAACACGAATTTAATAATTAAAATGTAAACAAACCACTATTTATCAAGATATTTCAAGAAAAAGTTCGAAATGTCGCCTTCTTTTTCCCCTTGTGTCGAATGCATTTACAACTACTTGCTCTACTCATTTTGTCATTGGACACTTTATACTTTATAGGTACTCGTGCATGATTGGTACCTCAATGACACATTTTTATATAGAAAATTCGACACGAAATATGACTTTTATGGCGAGTTTTTCATATTTAGTGAACAATCGTACCAGATGACGGCCATTTAATCAATAGTCAATACAAATACGAGATGTCAAATGTCAACAGATTATCTCACACGCCATTATTTTAAATGATATTCCTAATTCGTTTCACTAAATATGGATAAATCACAAGAAATTGTACGGAATGATAGTGATTTTCTATGAGAATGAAGTATGCAGTATGAGCTATTCGCGAGATTCACGAAGTGGACGACATCTAGGTTACATAATACGAACTTCAAACTGGGGGAAAACAAACTGTTGTCTATGAAAAAAGTGCATAGACTACATTGCATGTAGCTGTAGTCAAACTTGTCAATAACATAAAGTGTTGGCACAGCTACAACATGTTTACAATACCCAGATTGTCCTGCTTTGCTTGAACAAATACAAATCCATTGTTCTACAATTTTACTTCATGTGGGGAAGATAGTTTGTAGACAAAGTGCAAAAATGTGCCTTTTGTTGAAGTGTTCTGTCTCACACAAAATCACATGATTAACATGGAGAACTGATTCTCCTTCCACTACTGGTCGGCTTTTTCCATCTAAATAGAGAAAAATATCTGCCAAAAGAACATCTACAACAGGCATTATTAGCTTTTTCGGTCGAATATTGACAATTAATGTCAAGAAATTCGAAAACTTATCACTCTTAACACCCACATAGCACATGTTCGTCCCATGTGTGTCCATTGGATGTACATCATGGACCTCATGGACGTCCAGTGGACGTCCACTTAGGTCCATAAAGGTCCGGTATAAGTCCAATAAACGTCCAGATACACTGGATATAACATCTTATGTACGTACGTCATGGATGTCCAGTGGACGTACATCAAAAACGTCCATTGGACGTAGTACATGTAGTTCATATACGTCCAATGAATGTCCAGATATAACATCTTATGTACGTACGTTTCGGATGTCCAATGGACATACATAAAGAATGTACATTGGACGTACTTCTTTGGGAATCAAATGATGAAAAATCAGTAGGTAACAAATATAGATTTTTCTATTGAGATATATATTTGGTGTCAATTGCATATATATAAATAATATTGTTGATTCATGTCTTCTTCAGTCCACTTTAAATTCTTGTTTCTGTAAAAGAAGAGAAATATTATAAAAGTTGCTATATAGGTAGAAATCGATTGTCTATACCCCAAATCCTGTTCAGCTCAACTCTGGTGAATGAAGCCTTATTCACATTGCTATATACTTAGGTACTCCTTGCTTCTACCAAACTCTACTCTACGCTTCTACTCTACCGACCGATCTGACCTTCTGCCTCCCCTCCACGTGGCTGAAAAATCAATATTGTTGCGTCCATCTCTGAACGTACAATGTACGTTCATTCAACGTCCATGATCCTTCAGATTTAAAATGATGTCATATAGACATTTACTTTGAACAATTATTTATATACATATAAATATAATGTTCATTCTTCATCCATGAACGCTTGAACTTAAAATGGCCGTTAAATGGACATCCAATGTACGAATAATTTGTATCATCCAATGTACGTCCGTCTCTGTACGTACAATGGATGTTGATCATACGTCCACGAGAGTTTTTCTCCATGAGTTGACATAAAATGGATGTCCAACGGATGTTAATTTCGAAACATACATTGTACATCCACCTTTATAAGTACTATGAATGTACATTCTACGTACATGCGTGGTTGGACTTTGAGTGGACGTCCACTGTACATACAATTTAAAGCATCCAATGATAATCCATATTTGTACGTACATTGGATGTTCATTCAATGTCCATGGACGTTTGGAATTGAAATGGACCTAAAATGGACGTCCAATGGATGTTATGTGCTGTATGGGCAGTACGCAGTACACAAGCTGATGGCACTAATGGGATTGAGTGAGGATTGGGTTTGTTTTCCCCCAGTTTTCACGTGGCTTTGACATGGAACGATGAAAACCTAGCGCCACCTGGTGACATTGATTCCCGCGAGGCGAATGCTGGCAATCATTCGAGTAAGAAATTATCATTCCGTGCAAGTTATACACTATAATTTTTCTACGGCTATGATAGATAACAGCGGCATTTTAGATTTCTTCGTCTCGTCCATCTGATTTCCTGTCAAGTAATGCTCATCTATTAGACAGAGCTGTCATTGCTTCACATTTGACATTCCATGAGCGATGAGATTTTAAAAAAATAATAATACAATGGAGTCATTGTGATTTCAGATATACGGAAATAATATTGATGACATACAAAAAGGGTAAAAAGTAGGGCTGGGAATTTATTTCGATATATCGATATTTTATCGAATATTCGATATATCGAATAACGATATTTCGGTCGGAATATATCGATATATCGAATATTCGAATATTTGAATATTTGAATATTTGAATATTTGAATATTCGAATATTTGAATATTCGAATATTTGATTATTCAAATATTCAAATATTCAAATATTCGAATGTTTGATTATTCAAATATTCAAATATTCAAATATTCAAATATTCAAATATTCAAATATTCAAATATTCAAATATTCAAATATTCGAATATTCGAATATTCGATATATCGATATATTCCGACCGAAATATCGTTATTCGATATATCGAATATTCGATAAAATATCGATATTAATAATTTAATAATTTGTATATCGCTACTTCAAAGTTGGGAACCAACTCCCCAGAAGTCGAAACTTGTGCGGGGTTAGGAAGAGCGGGACCTACAGCTTATAGTGGAATCCGAACCACTTCTAATCAATAATATATCGAAATAAATTCCCAGCCCTACTATAGAGTGTAGTTATAGGCAATTAACTCTATACGAACGTTAAAGGTAGGTATGCATAATAATATAAATATATATTCCATAATTTTTACTCAGAAATGCTCAGAATATTATTTACTCCATCATAATTTCCCAGATAATTTCACACTAGCATACCTATTATATTCTTTAAATTAATTATTGATGATTGACATCCATCTTAGCATATTATAATAATAATTATAATAATAATAAACGCTTTTATTGATAGACAGAAAGAACAAAACAAAAATACACTAGAGGAAAAAATAAATCTATCTATCAAATGGCAGATATTCATATTCGTTTGAAATCTGAAGGAAATAAATAAAAACAAATAGTAATGTTTCTGGTGGTGATGAAGTTATTTGACAGTAAGTTACTCAATCAATATCTAGAACGAATGTATATAGTGAGAATAGTAATTCGAAAAAACTGAAATCCATTGGATATCGAATATTTGTCTTAATTGTCGATTATTCGATATATAGGGCATTCGATATATCGTTTATTCGAAATATTTGAATATTCGAACATTTGAATATTCGAATATTTGAATATTTGAATATTCTAATATCTGAATATTCGAATATTTGAGCATTTAGATATTTGAATATTCGAATATTTGAATATTCGAATATCTGAATATTCGAATAGTTGAATATTCGAATATCTGAATATTCGAATATCTGAATATTCGAATATCTGAATATTCGAATATCTGAATATTCGAATATTTGAATATTCGATATATCGAATATTCAATATATCGAATATATCGATATATTTTGGATATCGATATTCGATATCCAATATCCGATATCGCCCAGCTCTAGTAAAAAGTACCTCATCCACGTATCTAACACAGTAAAACAAGATCAATTTTGTGTTATAGCTGTAGAAAAATCATATTTCTAGTTGACTCATGGAATAGAAAAAAATGTGTCGTACATTTTGTGATGAAATAATATACCTACCTATAAATTGTCTAATGATGAAAAAAGAAGGGCAATTTGTTCTGAATGCGATCCAGAAGACAGGCGGAAAAGAAGGTTAATTTAGTAACATTATAGTGAAATATCTTAATAAATAATGGTTTGTTCACATTTTCATTATCAAATTCGTGATTTTCAGACAAAAATACGTAAGTACCAAAAACATTTTCAAAAAAAAAAAGCCATCGCATGATAAATGCAGTTTTCCAAGGAAACGGATTCTGAAATCGAAGACAGAGAGGTGGGCGTCGGGACGGGCGAAAGCTAAAACACCAAACAAAACAACACCTCTACAAGTCTACACGCACACCTGGCCTTGCCAAAAGCTCAGGTATAATACAGGTACCGGCAACCGGCAAGAAAAAGAAAAAAGCACGAACACCATCCGAATAATCTCCAACGCTGTAAAGGTCGCAGCGCTTGCGTCGTTCCCCCACCACCGGCCGTCCCGATGGATTTCAGAGTTTTCAGTCGCCGCCGCTAGCCGCAACGCAAAACAAAATCACAAAATGCTGTCAGTGGCGCGATGACATCGTTGTTGTGTGCACGCAAGTCTCACTCCGATCTGTGTTGTTAAGTTTCGATTCGTTTTGACGTTTCAGTGCTAGTTGTTTTTTATGATTTGTATTTGTTGTGAAACCACAAGGATATTTCTCGTTTTGGATACGTTCTCAAGGTGAGCGTTTTGTGTTTGAAGCGACCGGACAACCTTTTATTTCGTTTCGTCAATGACATTGTTTAATTCATTTTTTTGACCTTTTCAATAACATCGAGTTTTGACGTTTCGCAACTGAATAAAGAATTACCTGGCATACTGTTCAAATTATAATTGTTTTTTCTTACTGTTACAACATGTTAAAGATAATATTGAACGTTGTCATGTGATGTGGGATTATTGCAATATGTTAGCACTAGGTAATAGATGTTTAATTCATGTATTGCTACTAACCTAGGTCTCAATATAACTAATATAAGAACCTAATAAGCATAAAGTCGAGAGTAAAGAATTCAATTTCCAATCATTAAAATTGGCGATGAAAATTGGAAGCTTAATTTTGAGCTTGATTTAGATTGGAAAACGCTCGGGAAAACGTGAGGTCAGAATTGGTAGCAATAACTCGCAATAACTGATAGATACCAGATACCTATACTTCTTCTTTTCCTGTCTAATATCCTTTCCTACGATAGATATCTCTTGAGGTATCTTTCTTCTCCTATATAAGAATTGTTGGAAAAGTTAGAAAAAAAACGTAAGTGGATCTGCTCAATCTTTCCATAATTTGAGGTTCTCTATATGTTCAAATATTCTCAATTTTATTTCGAATATTTTCGATAAAATATGTCACAGCCTTTAAGGCTATCCGGCAAAATTTTGGGATTTTTGACATTGACCTCACGTTTCAGTAGCCCCCACTGGTGAGACTGCAAACGTCTTTGAGCAACTTATTACCCTACAATAATTTTCATTAACATTGACCAATCCTCATAATCCTGATTCACTTCCTTGAACTTGAAATGAATCAACAAAATGCAAGATGTCTGACAAACTAGATCACAATGCAGGTATCTAAAACACCCAATAGCATTTAATTATCAATATAATGATTAATAACTTGATATGTATTATGTATTTGCGTATTTGGTAGGTTGTAGATAGAGATAGGTATTTACCTCTGTATCTACTAATCAAATCATATGCGAATATAATTCATACTTACCCCGAATCAAACACACGTGATTTCCCCCTCACCTACCTGTAAGTTGCATAATAATGTTCTTTGTAATATTGAGGCAGGTAATTGAACCATTTTCTTGACAAAGGCATATTATCCTGAGGGTCATGAGGTTGCCGATGACATTCAGGATTATTCTTCCTAAAATGTTGGTTTCTTTCAAAATTATGTCACCCTTACTTGAAATATACCTATTATAGGGCATCGATCTCGGCTTCAAAAATTGTTTGAATTCCATTTTTCATACCTAAACCCGAGCATTTAATACCTCACCATACCCTATAACCGATTCATAAAATTCACACCGGGGTCGGCTGTATTAAGTATTGGCAACTCGATTATTGGAAATCTCGAGGTAATTCTTTCAGAGCACGAATTTTAATATTTTGTATACTTATCAGAAACAAAACAAGTATATACTTTGGTCTCGACTTTGGTACTTTTTACGTAACCATATAAAATTATCATAGAATCAGTCGATTCGTATCTGCGTATCTAGTTTTTCATAGCGACATTTGAGATGATAATATTAAGTAATTTACATTTTCGATATTGTATTAAGAATTAAGTATTGAACATCGAGGACAACGATTTATTTACAATTTATTGTAAATCAATAACATTATTATACCGGAACGAAACAGGAAGGAAAACATTCCAAGGGGCTATCAAATTGATGTGTTTATAAAGCTGAAATAGAGTATTTTTTCCACTTATAAGTAAAAGCACGAGACCTTTTTGTTTTCGACCATTGGAATGAGACTCGGAATGAGACTTTTGATGCCTCGATTATTCCTCGATTCATTCTGGCAGTTTTTTGAGTTGAACTTCCCTCGGAATTCCCTAAACCATAAATGTCAAGCGACAAGCGTGCTCCGATCCAAAAAAAATCTTGTGTGTTTGACTAGAATTTCGAGGATAACTTGACTTTTCAATGAGAACTTAGTTGCCTAGAAATTAAACGAAAAAAATTGCCTTCGAAAAAAGTACGTAGGACGAGTAATTTTTTCTGGCAGTTTTTTGAATTCAATTTCCTGAAGGCAGCAAACCTCGAATTATATGATTTTCAAGTTTACCGCAACCCGCTTCGACCCATAAAAAATACTCTAGTGCAATGGGCGTATACCGAGGCGTATACACCTCAGTAGAACTTTTAACTCAAACCCTGTTTATAATGATCCTTTTATACATAAATAATGATTGACGACATAATTCGATCGAAAAATTAACTGGAATGTTTTATTTTTGGGCATAAATAATAGTACCTTCTGAAAACGGACCCTCTTATGACGTAGAAACCTCATCTCGCCATAGTTAAAAGAAAATAACAAACGCCGATCTCGCGCTAATTCACTCTGTCAGAAATCATGTATCATTCATCTCTGTCTGGAATAGTCTTGTTTCAGTATTAGGGTTTTGACGTCACATCATCGCCTCGTTTTCGGAGGTCCGAAAAATCGGGGATTTCAATAATTTTTTATAAAACGTAGGGAGCTCACAGAAAGAAACGGTTTGCGGTGGTGAGCTAGTTTGGGTGAGTTCTATCGAATTATGAAATAAAATTGTTTTGTGATATAAGCCCATTCAGTAAGACGATAATTTACTGCGAATACGTGTAACACACACTATTGTTGATGGTTTTATTGGTTTTTCCATTTTCTCCATTCGCATCATACTCTCCAAATCGCCACATTCCAGAGATTAGATACTTTTCTGACAGCTCAAGATTAAGAAATATTTAAATAAACCATAAACGCCATCAAGATTCGTTAATAATTGTGGTTGTCATGGTTTCGAGTGTTAGTTTCCGTTTCGAGTTTTGTCATCAGTGAAAACACAGGAGCTTTTTTTATCGGATAAATTTCGATTGCCCACGAAAAACACGGAAAAACATTATTTGCCGATCACTATTTTTACGAGAAAAACTGACATGAAAAAATTGTGAGACCGTAGGTCGAGCAATTTTGTCTGAAATGTTAGTTTTCTGAGAGAAATTACAGATGGAAAATTTTTGCGTTAGTAAGGAAACTTCCAATTCAAAAAAAGTTAGGGTGTTTTTATTCCAACTTAGAGGTCAAGAATTGATTACTGCAATATCTTTTTCTTGAAACAAAGCTACAAGTTGGAATTTGAATTATATTGCTAAGAGGGTGAAAGAGGGGTGGAATGGATGCTACAGAATCACACAACTATCTGATCTTGTTAAGGGAAGTGTTTTCTATTTATTATAGCAGATTAAATTGTGAAATTCATAATATTTACATTTCTAAGTCGATTTGAAAGAGTTTTATCGATCTCGTCTCTCTGCGGCCTGCCCGTGTTGATCTCATTCGTTGCTGCATGATGTCGCGTTGCTGCTTTCACACAAATCTGGGATCGACTCAAAAACAAAATCTTGACCCATATCTATTTTTTTTTTTCAGAACTTTGATGCACCCCCGTAACAGTGCCCCGTCAACCTAACCCCGCAACGAAAACCAATACCACAACCACGAAACTCTAAACTCTCCGAACCCGCGCGAAATAATGCAGAACGCGATGCCGGAAATCCTGCGCGCCGCGACGCCCTCAGCCAAAACCGCCGAGGCGGCGCCCTCTAGCGGCGAGGTCGCGAAGAAGCTGCGGTTCGCCCACGTGCCGCGCGCTGTCGAACGCCGTGTGCCGCGCGTCTCCTCGGACAGAGACGCGGGGGCAACGAGCGGGGGCGGGGGTGGGGCGGTGGGGGTGGGCGGCGAAGGGCGGCTACGCAGCTCGCACGTCGCCGACAAGTACGAGCTGCTCGAGCAGGTCGAGGGCAGCTCGCTCTACCGGTGCGTCGACGTCAACACCAAGGAGGAGCTGGTCTGCAAGGTAAGAAGAACGATTCTTTTCAATCCGAGAATCTCGAGGGGTAAACCCAGGGCCTACTCTATCTCTCTCCCTGGTAAACCGCGTTCAAAATTGTGTACACCAAACTTTATTTTCACAAGGAATTTCAAGGAATTTCAAGGAATTTCAAGGAATGCCAAGAAAATCCATAGAAATCCAAGGAAATCCAAGGAGATCGAAGAATTCCAGTTGTTTGTACACCTTACACCATCAGAATTATATCCCACTTCACCCAAAGCATTCCAAGGCAATCCGAAGGATTTCAAGGAAATTCAAGGAAATCCAAGGAATTCCATGGATTCCAAGGAATTCTTAGAAAATCAGAGGAATTTCAAGTAATTCCAGTTGTTTGTAGACCAGAAATATACCGCACTTCACCCAAGGAATTCCAGGAAATTCCAAGTAAATCCACGAAATTCTGGTGTACAAGCAACTGGATTTCCTTGGAATTCCCTGGATTTCCTTGAAATTCCTTGGATTTCCTTGGATTTCCTTGGGATTCCTTGGGATTCCTTGGATTTCCTGGGGATTCCTTGGATTTCCTTGGAATTCCTTGGATTTCCTTGAAATTCCCTGGAATTCCTTGGGTGAAGTGCGGTATATCTGGTCTACAAACAACAGGCATTGCTTGGAATCCCTTGGATTTCCTTGAAATACCTTGGAATTGCTTGGATTTCCTTGGAATTCTTTGGATTTCCTTTGAATTCTTTGGGTGAAGTGCGTTATAACTCTGGTGTACTAACAACTGGAATTCCCTGGGATTTCTTGGAGTTGCTTGGAATTCCTTGTGAAATTTAAGTTTGGTATACACAATTTTGACCGCGGTTCACCCCTCAGGCTCGGGTTTAGGCGAATTTGAGGTACAGACTACCTAGAGCCTAGGTTAGAGCTCCGAAGGTTATAAGATTCGTGAGGAAATTCTAGAATATCTCAGGAAGTTTGCGAAAGTCTGGAAAAGTCAAAGGCATTCTGATTGGAAACTTTGAGGTAGGATGAGGAAGTCTATGGATATTCTAGGAAGTACCAGGGTACTTCAAATAGTTGTATACAGTCTCAGGAAATATTAGCAAGCCCAGGATATTTCTGGCAAGTTTCAGAAAGTTCTAGGAATTATCAGGATGTTCCAGGATGTCTGGGTGACTGGTCAAAGTGGAACTCAAGTTAGACAACCAGGTGAAAACTCACAGTGAGAAAGTTCTAGTCTCGGTTCTAGTTCTAGATCTGAGAAAGTCCTAGAAAGTGAAAACCGAAGTCAAAACCAGACTGGGCAAGTTCTAGAGAGTCTCTTTGAGCCTTGATCCATGAATAGTAGAGCATTCTTGGGAGAGTGTTAGTATATTTCAGGACGTTTTAGACATTCTTAGGTCTGGGCAAGTTCTAGGAAGTTTGTCGAGGCATAGGATGTCACGGGAAGTTCGTGGAAAAGTCGTAGGATGTCTCGCAGGAAGTTCTTAAAAATCTGGGAAACTCCTGACGTGTTCTGATAGATAGTAGTATGTATATAGATTCTCCTCGACCGAGCCTAAACCTCTCAAAACTTTATGAGACTATCTAGAACTTTTCTACAAGTACATTGAAAATCCTCCGAGACTTCCTCAAAACGCCTGGAGGTTCCCCAGATTCACAAGAACTTCGTGAGACCTCAACGAACTTCCATTTCCAAACTCTGACTTCCTACCATGGCCTAACTCTGACATCGACTATGGTCTATGACTTGCTATTAGACTCCCTAGAACTTACCTCAAATTTCCTACAAAACTTCTTTAGGCTTACTAGAAGTTTATAGAACGATCAGATGCTTCCTTGAGGCTTTCTCAAAATTCTTGAGGCTCAATAGAACTTGTCGATACTTTCCCAAACTTATTCACATTCTTCATCTTCCTGAAAATTGCTCAAACTTCCACAGACATTCTTAAATTCCCTCAGGTTGCCTTGAACTTCTAAAAATGCCCCCTTTTAAAAATTACTAAGTTGTGAAATTTTCATGATGATTTGAAAGAAAAAACAAATATTCGTGGTTAAAATATTAATTATTTATGGCGTTGTATGGTGTCCGTTTTTTAAAAAACCTCCATATTAATTTTATAAAAATCCGAGTTAAAATCTCGATTTGGGAATACATGCCCAATATTATTCTGATGATATGATATGAGGGTATGATGATATGAATATTTTGTGAAAAATCTCTCATTATTTCAACAGAAATCTCGACAGAAATGCACTGCACTGTCAAAATAATGTTTGTCTTCAGTAATAATCATATTGATTGCTGTTGTCTAAAACCAGTCCAATTTTGGTTGGAATGGCATTACTATAACAACTGATAAAATTAGGATAAAATACGGGGGGCTAAATGCTAAATACCCTCGCATAACCTATCCCTCGTATCTGTACTTGTGCCCCACCGAGTTCGCATATACGATTCAAACGATTGTAAAGAATTGATAATTATTCTGAGCTAAATGTAGGGAAAAAATTGCGTTTCCCAACAGTGGGTTGTCTGATGTCTTATACGAACAAGGGGCGAGGGTAGTACCCTTTCGATAACCAGAGGGGTTCCAAGGTTCGACATTGACGTTGACGGATCGCTCTAATCAGTCATCACTTTCAATAGTCTCTAAATGCTTTCATAATATCTCAGTTTGAGTCCGTGCGACTCAGTATTTCGTCGTCTCAATGAGAAATGTTTTTTGAAATAAGTTCCCTCGTGATCATAAATTTGAATAATAGATAATCATTTTGCATGTTTTTTTTTGTTGTGGTGTCAATCCATCTAATAGTCCAATGATATTAGTAAAAAATTGTGCCTTGATACGGAATAATTATAGGTATTTGCTCGAGTTTTGTGTATACAGAGTGTTTCCTAATAGAATGTCAATATTTGAGGAGGCGATTCTTGGGATATTCTGAGAAGAAAATTTTATATGAACGTTCGATCTAAACGTCTACATTTTTTATATACAGTGTGGTAAAGTTTTCAAAAATGAATATAGTTTTTTAATAATATCTGTAATATACCACTTTAGATATTGTTATGAAATTTGGCATACATGTACCATGTATCAAGGGACATCAGTTGGTGTACCACATTTTTTTCTGTTGCCACCAGTGGCTTTCGTATGGAATTTCGCATACATATTATGGCAGACATTGATGGTACGCCACTACGCCACTGATTAATCTCGAAATTGAAATCAATCCTGAAATTCTCAATCATTTTTAAGCAACTCTGATGTCTACAATTTTTTCAATCTGATGCACCGTTACATATACAATATTGATAAAAAACTAATTATTTTTGAGAATTTCACCACCCTGTATATCAAAAGTTAAGACGTTCATATAAAATTTTCTTCTCGAAATGGCCCAACAATCGCCTTCTCAAATATTGACATTCAATTAGGAAACACCCTGTATAATAGGTAAGTATTTGTGTTTCGTTTTTATTCTTGTTATCTGTACCGGATTCGTTCTATTTATTCAATACTGTTGTTGGCGATATGAAAACTGCAGGATATAAATCAAAAAACAAACAGTGAACATGGCATTCTTGAAAAACAAATAAAGGAGAACAAATTGTGCTTGCATATAGGTGTAACCTATTATAATAATTCTTCTCCAATTAGGAAGTTTTAAAACGAATGGTTGAAACGAGACTATAAGTTCAGCTAAGGTAATAAGAAGGTATACGACGAATTTTTTACAATAATGCTTGTTACTGAAATGAATTATGAGCAACAATAGCACATTTTTTTGTAAGGATCAAAAGCGATAGGAGTTACACTTTTAAATCTTAGGCTCTAAAAGTGTTTCCTAGCGACAATATTAGATTGTTTTATTAGGATCAAAAGTGACACTTTGTTTGACAAGCGAATTTTGCATTTGCGAGGCGGAGCGTTTAGCGAAGCCGAGCGAAAGCAAAATTTGCGAAACGAACAAAGTCACTAATGATCCTAATGAAACAATCTACCATTCAACCTTCTAAGCAAAATCAATTGGTCGATTTTGGTATACGGTATACATATACACATCACCACAATAAAAGAAATTGCACTTTTACTAGAAACGAGAAATATACAGTGACAGATGGCGACAAAATTCAATTCGAATCACTGTAAAGAGGGAGTTTTACCTGAACCCTTTGAAATTCCTTTATAAAATTTCCATTATAAATATAAAAGCGACGATCAATGGGATATGCAAATCCTCGAATTCAATATAAGAAAATATCCCAACCCCATCTGATCATTGTTCGATTGCCGAGTTGGGGTGCATATATTTTCGCCGTTTTCTCCCATTTTTCCCACATAACGAGAATTAATTACCATGGTCTAAGTCAAGGGCTAAGTAATCGCACAGAGCGCTAGATCCAGCAGAAATATCGAGGAATTATAATATTAGGGTGGCCCTAGGAAACCAGTATATACCCCAGCTTCTGTTTCATGTCATTCGAAAATTCCCATCAGGCAGATCGGAATATAAGCGAATCTTGGTAGTCGCTGGACAACATTCTTCTTGGCCAAAAACTGGTTCCACCACTATATAGTGCGGAGAGTAAGCATCTCGGTAAGCAATAAGCATATAATCTATAGTGAGTATAGTTGTCCGAATTAATTTGGCTGTTTCACTATGGGTGCGTGTAAAACATAAGGGTGATCCTGGGAATGTCCGGGGATTTCAATACCCAAGCTTCTAATAAATCAAAAACCTCGAGGAAAACCTAGTTGAGTAGGCGAGAGCTATACAGGGTGATTCACGGTGGATGGCACATTAGACGTCTCTGGAGAACGCGACACAGGATTATTCTGAAAAGTTAGTGCCTTGGATAATTAGTTGTGTTCTATCGACCTAAAATATTCTCAGCGTCGCGACGTTGAAAAGTAGCAACAACTTTGATTTTTTCAATGGAACACCCTGTATATCATTCCATTTTCAGATTCTCCATGAAGAACTGATTCCATCGATCTATCACACTTGGGGTCTAGCGGGAATGATAACAAAGATATAGGGTGTGAAAAATCGAAATTTTTCAACTTTAAGAATTTTTTGTGTCTAAACTATTCATGATTTATCAGGACGGTCTTCATGTCCCTAACTTAACTTTTCATGTACTATCAATTGATATTTAATTGAAACGAGTACAGGGTGGTTCAGAATTAATATTTTTGACCACCCTGTATCTGGATATGGATGGTATCATCGTGAAAATGGAAACATATGTGTTTCAGAAGTTTCGCTACATGCTAATGATAATAGTTTGTAGACAAAAAATACCTCGAAAAATGCCTGTCTTTTTTTTTCACTTCGTTCAAGAAAAGCCGATCTCACTGTGCCCAACAACATGAGCTTGTCTGGAATTACCATACCTTTGAAGACATCCATTACATCCGTATTACTATCAGCAATAACCTTTCTTGGAAAAATCACGTGAGATCAATTATTGCTAAAAGAGCATCCCACAAACGTTGTTTTCTGTTTCGGGCCAGGAGCTATTTCACAGTCAGCTGCTCATGATCTATAAGGCACAGATCCGACCTGTCCTGGAATACTGTTCCCATATTTGGAGTGCAGCACCCAAATATACCCTGAAACTGTTGGATTTTGTCTAAAAAAGGGCAATTCGTCTCGTAGGTGATGCCTCGCTCACAAACTCACTCAATTCTCTGGAACACCGTAGAAAAGTTGGCGATCTGGCTCTGTTTTATAGATATTTTCATGGACGATGCTCTTCTGAAATACCAACAATTGTTCCTCCCTTGGCAATCCCCGCGAGATTAACCCGTCGAGTTGAGGCTTCGCACCCCTTCGTGGCCACTTTGGAGACCTACAGAACATCTCTTTCCAAAGACTCGTTCATCCAACGAACCACGAGGCTCTGGAACACATTGCCAATGGAGGTGTTCCCCGAGGCATATAACCTCCAGAAATTTAAGAAGAACACCAATTCCTACCTTATTGCCCTTGGTTCTCACGATGTTCTCTGAACATTACAGGATATCCTGTTTCGTGGGAAGCAGAACATAAAAAAATAATATAGTTGGCCATGTAATATTGCAATGCAAGAATTGGGAACTCTGGAATGTAGATCGTACTGCTCGTCGTATTGTGTACTACTTATTTATTGTTGAGCTAAAAAAAATCAAATGGAAAAATACAAGGCTGCATGGAATTGCTCAAAGTGGGCCACACTGTATAACAAAGAGCAAATTGGCAAAATAACAAATGAAGTTTTGACATTCGAAATTTCAATTGCCAAAGGCACCCCACGGATGTGGGAGATTCGAACTGGGGTGCAAGTACAAAGGGTTGGTCGCCTACTGCATACAGGGCGAGGTGTAGAGTGTATCGCGAAGATTTTCCCAAGGTTTTCTATAAGAATCTTTTCAAGGGTGACAAATGGCAGAGAATGAAGAGGTCACTATAGAAATTACGAGAGAAATCATTCAAAGGGGTGACAACAACTGGTAAGTGTAAATAATTTGGCAGTACAAAGCAATCAACATAATATCAGTAATATCACAATACGTACCTGATGGCTAGAAGTGGCAAATTTTTACAGATTACTAATAATTAAAACTTGGCAACAATTCTCGAATGGGGATCCAATAACTTTGTAGATTTCAATGCAAACATAAAAGACAAGCATGCCTTTTCTCTAGAAAAGCCGATTTCACTGTGCCCAACATAAGCTTGTAACCATACCTTTGAAGACATCCATTTCGATGCTTGGTATTACTATCAGCAATAACCTTTCTTGGGAAAATCACGTGAGATCAATTGCTAAAAGTGCATCCCACAAAATGTGTTTTCTGTTTCGGGCCTGGAGCTATTTCACTTCCAGTCAGCTGCTTATGATCTATAAGGCATAGATCCGACCTGTCCTGGGATACTGTTCCCATATTTGGAGTGCAGTACCCAAACATACCCTGAAACTGTTGGATTCTGTCCAAAAAAGGGCAATTCGTCTCGTCGGTGATGCCTCGCTCACAAACTCACTCACTTCTCTGGAACACCGTAGAAAAGTTGGCGATCTGGCTCTATTTTATAGATATTTTCATGGACAAAGTTCTTCTGAAATATCAACCTTGGCAGTCCCCGCGAGATTAACCCGTCGAGCCTTCGTGGTCACTTTGGAAACCTGCAGAACATCTCTTTCCAAAGACTCGTTCATCCAACGAACAGCGAGGCTCTGGAACACATTGCCAAGGGAGGTGTTCCCCGAGGCATATAACCTCCAGAAATTTAAGAAGAACACCAATTCCTACCTCATCTCCCTTGGTTCACACGATGTTCTCTGAACATTACAGGATATCTCTTTTCGTGAGAACCAGAATATAAAAAAAATAAAAAAATAATCACTACCTACTGTGCATACAGTACGCCTCAACTCCAAGTTGTTTTTTCATCTTATACATGCTGATACTAGGGTACAAAAGACATGCGAGTCTCTTGTGAATTTTAGAAGAAAGAAAATCAAGGTTTCTGTGTGAATAAAATAAAAATAACTTATACACTATATACACTTGTTTGCTAATACCTATACCACGACCTAACCTGCTCAATCTCATTGGGATCGGGTTACAAGTAATTTGAGCCACGTGTTATTTATCTATCAATGATATCTTTCGACCAATATGGGCGCAGTTATAACGACGCAAAATTCTAAATAAAAATAGACAAAACAGTAAACAACGAGTAAACAATATGTCTTATCGAATAACTCTCGAAGAATATTATGTTTTCATACATAATATTGTTCGACAAGGTGAAGATAGATAGAATTGCGCGGAAGTTATTTTATTTACAACACATCCGCTTTTTTAGTGCGAATATATTCAACATTATGCTAGAACGTATTGCCATGAATGACGTGTTGGATTGATGATTTGTCTGCTTATTCACTATACTTGTTCATGGTTTTTACGTGGAAAACATCCATGGCAATCGGAACTAGCAAAACGTGACCAAATTTCAAGCGATTAATCTTAGTTGAGCAATCATCTCGTCATATCATCAGAGCCTAGCCATAGCACCACTATACGGGAAATATTTCCACGGTAGCAATTCAAGAGCGTATAAAATTGTTTTGTAGTTTCTTTCGGCAGAAGCGTGGTGGTTCATTAGAGTAGTGTTCATTCTTCCGAGCGAAAAGACCGGGGTTCGATCCCTCCTCCAGCTAATCTTTTTTTTTAGAAGTAATTGATCGAAAAAATACTATGGATGTATTTATTGGTTAGGCCGATAGAGATTCGCTATTTCAATTATGTTTCTTCTGAGGATCGGCTGGACATTTTCAGTTTCTCGCGCCCAGCGAGCAGAGAGCGAGGGGCAATATTACCTCGCTATGGTGCTATGGCTTGACTCTAGTGTCATTTCCAATTTGGACGCTCAAAAACCTGAATTGGATGTGCATACAATGCCCAATCCGAAAAAAAATTACATGAATAATTAGTTGTGGTCGCATTGTCGTTTTAAACCTCTCGGGGGCCATTCTCAGCTTTGCTTTTTAGCATCAATTGGATTTCCCTTCGTGAATCGATTGGTCATCTGACCTAGCGCAACTGATGAGACTTGGCAAGCCGAAACAGTGTGTATTGGATGAGCTGGCAATCGATTCACGAAATTCCTCTAGATCTCTCGATCTTGAAACAGGTACTATAGGTTTCTCAAAAGTTATCAATTTCAAATTTGACCTTTATATTATAGTTACCTATCACATTTTTATTCTGATTTCAATGAATTGCGAAACTTTATTCAACCAATTTCACGCAGATAGCCAGTCATAAACACGAAACACGTGAGTGAGTATACGGCGTGATGCAATATTTCTGGCGTCGATAATATAATACTTATACAGTATATGATAATTAAATTCTATAATTTGAACGAAATGTTTAACACGTTCGGTATATGACCTCGTAAACTGAAAATTGACATTCACCTCGAGCGGTATTGAAATTCTAATATTCGGACCTTGGAAGTGTTTTCGGTGGTTATAATGCAAATTTAACGACCAATAAGTTACCATCCAGGAAGTTATATTGACCTTGATATCACTCCTTCGAGGAGTAGGTAGATATTATTCATAACAATGTGTCGAAAAATCAGGAAACTATATTGGGCATCATTTGATTTTCCTTACAGCATCACATTTGATGAGCATTTTAAACTGCATCAAATGGAATTACATCAAATATCTTGCAAACCTAACGAAATACCGACTCAAAAAAGTACGATCGATTTGTTCATCATTAGTTATCAAAATATGCACCATCCTCTATGTCGATCGAATTTTTATACAGTGTGTCTCACTTATAATGGAAAAACCCCTGCATCTTACCTATTCGTTGGGTAGGGATCCTGAAATTTGCTGAAGCGAGAGCTATACCAAAAATGTACTCTATGGCCAAGTGGGGTCATCTTCATTGATATACACTGCTCGCCAACACCCATGGAACCACACCAGTGTCCGGAAAATGATATTAGGAGTCGAAATAGGTTGAAAGTCACTTCGGATTCGGAATCAGGACGCTCAATTCACAAACTATTCATATATTCCCTAGAAATATTTTGAAAATTCCGCCAAGTGTCCGGATCCCGTTCTGTTGAGGGAATGTATTATTATTGATGATGATTTCGTCCTTGTTAACATTGTGTATTTCTGATCACTGATTGAAATGTCAGGAGGTTCGTGATGAAATTACCAACAGGTTACATTCTCACGGCAATAGTTCACATCTCCGTTCAATTGCAATTATAAATGTTTCACAAATTTACGACACATACAGGGCGTTAACAATAATTAATCGTAACTCGTTGTGACGTGCCTTTGAGGTCAGCAGAAACCAAGGCATACGAGATAGTTCCCGTGCATGGTGAATTTACATCATCAGGATGTCAAAATATAATTATCTAATCCAGAGTAGTTCGTTTTGTGTGTTGTACACACGCAAACTCACACCGACAAGAAAACACCGGTTGGCAAAAAAATTACCCAAAGTGATTGAACTTTTTTAATTATTGTCCGATTGTGATGAAATTTCGACCAACGCTTAGATTCATGGTTTGGACTGGTAGCCTGGATTTTAATTCTTGAAAAAAGCTGTTGTTCATTATACAAAGAAAAACATAAGTTACACTAACGCCAATATCTTTCCTTGGGGAGGTATGCTTCAGTATTCCAGGCAGAGGTGCATGCTATTGAGGCATGCCTGAGAGAGAATATTGTAAGAGGATACAGAAGTAAACAAATCCTCATATGCTCAGATAGTCAGGCGTCAGGCGGCCATTCAATCTTTAACATGCAATAAAATCAGATCAAAACTGGTCTGGTCTTCAAAGCCTGCTAACCCTGGCTAACCACAACAAAGTAACTCTTCAATGGGTGCCAGGGCATAAGGAAATTGAAGGCAATGAAGCAGCTGACGCTCTTGCCAGGCAAGGGTCTGCGGCGTTGTTTATGGGACCGGAACCTGTGTTCGGTATCCCCAAAAGCTCAAAACACGGCTGGCTGGCAAGGTGGATGCAAGAAATACATCAGGCATACTGGAACAATGTCCCAGGATAAAGACACAGTAAACTGATGGTTGGAACACTGTCCAAAACAGTTGACTAACGACATTCTGAGCCCAAACAGAAGTCAGATCAGACAAGTGACGGAACTAATAACCGGTCACTGCCCATTTTGGAAACATATGCATCAAATGGGTATCTATACAGACGAACCCATATGCAGACTATGCAATGAGGAGGAGGTAACTGCCACCCATGTAATATTGGAGTGCGAAGCACTAGCGCGTTGGAGATACAACCTTCTGGGAGCAGTAAACTCTCAAGAGGCATTTCCAAAGAATGATTTGGTGAAGAGACTGCTAAACCTTATCAAGGTAGCGAACCTGTTCACCTAAGTCAACAGCATATGATCAGGAATACAATAGGCCCAAAGGCTGCAGTGTTTTGGGCTTCGAACCCTGACTTCTGCTAATAATCAATCAATCAATCAACGCCAATATCTAGTTTTCATGAGAAGATACGAGTGTTTTAAAAAATATGGAATTGTTTAATTTTTATTGACATTGATTCAGAACCATTTTCCAAGCTTCTGCTTCATCATGTGCTGGATTGAAGTGTGATCTCCATCTAAAAAATAGAAAAATATGAATATTATGTCAATATACGTGTATGTAAGGACAAATTAGATGCTTTGCCCCAAAATGTCACTGTGTTTAAAGGATTTTCCTATCAGAGAGCCTAAAAGAAAAATTCACCGACTTGTCAGGGACAATTTCTATTGAAAAAGGTATGGTGAAGAGAAATGAAGGTATAAGTATAGAGAAAATATCAAATTTTCATTTAGCTTTGGACGTTTTGGGAACGAATCTGCTCCCGTTTTCAACATAAAAATTGGATATTTGTATTTGTATTAGCAAATTCGTATTCGTCTTGATACTACTCAGTTCTCAGTGACGATATATTCAGTCTCAGACGAATACGAATTTGCTATACAAATATCCATTTTTTATGTTGAAAACGGGAGCAGATTCGTTCCCGAAACGTTCAAAGCTAAGTGAAAATTTGATATATTCTCTATATACCTTTATTCCTCTTCTCCAAACCTTTTTCAATACAAATTGTCATTGACAAGCTGGTGATTTTTTTTTAGGCTCTCTGATAGGAAATTTTTTTAAACGCAGTGACATTTTGGGGCGAATCATCTGATTTGTCCTTACTATACACGTATATTGGAATGATATTCATATTTTTTTATTTTACAAAAACGAGGAGAGAAAATCCTACAGACAGTATTGGTTTTTTTTTGCTGGTCGATTTTTTTTGCCGGTGTATAGATTATTGGACTCTGGCACCCGGCTAACATGATCTGTTCAAGTTCAGAATGACCAAACAACCTTGGCGCATAATCTCCGAAACCTTGTTGAATCAATCTCTGCCTAAAAACCCGAGTAAAAACCTCACGATTCACCTTCATGCATTTATAAACGCCGACCTCAAACCTTGAGCCAAAGCTTTGCGCAACTTGATTCGGATTTTTTTAATTTTTCCATTGACAATAAACAGTTATCATTGGCTGTGTACACAATCATGTTTATGTTATTTGCATATCGCCGCTGTATAGGCGATAATTCATATGAAAATAAAAAAAATGTGTTGTAAGGTACAGTTTATACCTGTTGAAATAACAAAGTTATTTATACTTTCGAAATCGTATATAGGTTCGGCTGCAGATGTTGCCTTATAAGGTCTATTAATATCGTAACTGCATTATTAGATCATAGTTTATGTTAAAATTGTGATATGATATTCATTATGCAGCATTTTTCGCTTGTAATTAGAGTAGTCATGCGCTTAAGATGATTCAAATTGAACTGAGATGATAATGCGCAGAGCAAAGCTATACATTATCACTTATCACTTGAGCATGGACCAACATGACTGATGTAATTTTGAAATTTATCAGTTCTTTTAGTATACATTTACCTTACCTACTACCTACATATTTACCAACCTACTTACTGTATTCCATTATCGAAGTGATGATAGTTGAATTTTACTGTCTGAAAAAATACTATTTTAGTTTCGAATTCTTGCGAGTTCAACTTCTGTTATATGTGGAAGATTTTTATTGAAACAAAAAGAAACATTGCGCAAACATAATAGCGTGACTATTGAAAATTATCCGGATTATCTCGGTAGTTATCTTCATCTTCAACAAATTTCACTCAAAATTTGACGCACTTTCTTCCTTCGCTTCAAATAATTTGGCACGCTATTGAATTCATCCACGCTAATCCAATTTTAAGTGCTAGCTTTCTCTATATCTATTTATAATACAGTGTGGGAATCTCTAATGGAATAATCTAGTTTGCATATTTTTTTGAATCTATTATTTTACACGAAAATGTGTAACCACCGTCCTGCCCTGCAGATCAACCCCTTCAAAATGTTTAAATTGTACAAGGGATCAAGTGATAACGTGTGTTTCGAATCTTTATACACTGGTCTATTTTTTTAAAATCTGTCAAGCCATATCCGCAAGAGAGCAGTCAAAAGATTTAAAATCCATTGACATTTTTTACCAACTTATTGGAAATGGTACTTACTGTAGTCAAGTGAAATTACCTACACTACACTGTTTTACCGCACTAACCAAACCGATTTTTTAACGCCTCGACACGTGTTTCGCTAACTATGTTAGCATCTTCAGGAGAAGAAAAGTTTTAATCTTCTCCTGTTATGCTGTTATGTTATGCAGGTCCCAAAGTGACCACGAAGGGGTACGAAGCCTCAACTCGACGGGTTAATCTCGCGGGGACTGCCAAGGGAGGAACAATTGTTGTTATTTGAGAAGAGCATCGTTCATGAAAATATCTATAAAATAGAGCCAAATTTCCAACTTTACTACGGTGTTCCAGAGAAGTGAGTGAGTTTGTGAGCGAGGCATCACCCACGAGATTGAATTGTACTAAATTCAATTATATTGTACTAAATTGAAAAAATAACACTTCAAAATTCACGATTCACATACATTTGATGAGAAACTTCATATTCATTTATAAAAATTTAAAATAATAATATACAGCACATTCATACACCTCGTAAACCTAGGTCATGAAACAATCATAACGAATAAATACCGAAAATAAGGGATGAAAAGGGACAGATCAGATTACAGATTGAGATCGAATGCTATCATACTATCAATAAGATGAAATAGATGACTCAAACTCTAGAGTCAAATCAATTCATCAATAACAGCTCATTGTTTCTTCGTTGAATTGGGAATTATGGACTTTTATTCTATAAGGGCTTCATTAGGATTCCAATTATAACACATATCTTCTCCAAATAATTGTTTTGCATATACAATAATAGCTTGGGCAATCCCATGGGGCTATCCTGTTCTTGTTTTTGTACTAGATTAGTGTTAATTGTATTACTAAATGTGTATGAAATGTACTAGAAAGGTACAACAGTACCTACTGAAAACGGCAACTCTGATATACAACGTTACCACCGATAAAACAAGGCCAGCAGACTCTGACGTAAACAGCTCGTGACGTCGCATACTCAGGCCATCTTCCAAGGCATTCGCGTCGATCGATCGTCAGTTTGTTTTTGTTTAAGAATGGTGGCGTAGGTAAATCGGGTGTGTTCGAATTCTCTTGTTGTTTATTCATCAAAATAATTGGCGGAGAAATTACTGTTTCGTGAAATATTTCGTGTTGTGATAGGCGAAATAACAATGCCTTACAAGTGGTGTGTTCCCTTTTGTCGGGGAATTATGTGGGTGGTCCAAAAGTTCATGCTTTTAGTTTCCCGTTGGACAAGGATCTATCGAAAAAGTGGGTACATGCAATTCACCGCAAGGATTTTACGACTCCATCTAAGTACAGTAAAGTATGTGAATTACATTTTACTAAAGATGATATTATTACTTCATCTACTGCAACCGATTCAAAAACTGGCAAAACTGTAACAATAGATTTGAGAATTCCTAGGCTCAAACGAGATGTTATTCCCACTCAAGTTCCCAACTGTCCATCTTATTTATCGAAAGATGTAAAATTACGCACAAGTCGTGATGAAAAACTTGAGATACTAGAGACTAAAAATTTGGCACAAGCACTTACCAAAAGTAAAACTGAATTCGAAAATTACCAAAAATCATTTTGCTACACAGAATTTCAAGAATTTCTAGTTGTATTAGAGTCTTTTCAGTTGCCCGAAAAGTGGTTCAAAATTATCGATTTGCAAAAATCCCCAGGGCCCGTAATTACATATTCGGTTGTGATTGATTTTGTTTTGAATGTGGAATCATTTTTGTATGACCTAGCGATACAAACATCTCTAAAAGCCAATCTGAAAACACCTTTTATCTCTAATAATATCAATCAAATCAAGGAATTACTAATTGAAATAGATAAAAACGAGATACATAATTCGGGAAAATGTCTTGATAATCAGAGGGTTTTGAAACATATTTCGAATGCATTGGACTCTTTGGTTTCTGACTCAATACATTCTCAAATTTCTTTCTGAAAACGGTCATTTGCCTCGTGGCAATGAATGCAGAATTCATTCCAATGATCAAATTGCAACTATTATATTAACATGTACTACAAACACTCTACTTAAAAATTACTGTTTCAAGTCGAACGACCAATTGGGTAAAAAATCCAACAACAGGAAATTGAAAACACTCACTGGCTAATTTTTTAGGTAATAGGAATTCTCCAAGATAAATATATAGGTAATTAGGTATAACAAACGGCATGTCTATCAATCTAAAATACATTTTCCCCAATTTTCTTTCGATCAATCTCATGATAAGTTTATGTTTAAGGGCCCTGTATAAGTAGGTGTGAAGTTTACCTCTAATGAGATTGAATCACTACAATTTTTGCCAATATATTTAAATCGAATGGGTTGCTGTAGGTGGGTATTTGTGTTTTATTCTGTTTTTGCTTTGAAATTTCGTTTTTCCATAATAAAATTGAATGGGATGCGAAGAAGGGCTCAGTTGACGGCTGGCATCCTCTTTCAACCGGAAGCCCTTAAAAAAAAGCAAAATCGGCTCAATAATGATCTAAAACTAAAATCGAAATACGCGGTCGCCTTATAGCGCTATAAGCGCTTGTCGTTTCGAGCCGCTGGTTAGGCCTGACTAAGTGACGTCACCCACGGAGCATGCAGGCCTTGTTTTATCGGTGGTAACGTATACTAGCCTTCAAAACAAGCCTTCTTTGTTGCAGATCGTGTCTCGCGACAGCCACTCGCTAGTCTCCGCCCACTACAAGCTGGACTTCCATCCGCGCGTCTCGTCGCTGCACGAGGTGCTCGCCAGGCACCGCTACCTCTACCTGGTGTTCCCGAAGGCGCACGGCGATCTCCATTCGTACGTGCGGCAAAGGAAGCGCCTGCGCGAATCGGAGGCCCGTCGGCTGTTCAAGCAGTGCGCCGAAGCGGTGCAGGTCTGTCACGAGAACGGGATCGTGCTGCGGGATTTGAAGCTCAGGAAGTTCGTCTTCGTCGACCAAGAGAGGTAAGAGATACACAGCGAGGGGTAAATCTCCAGGAAAAATGTGTACACCAGACTTCCAATTAACATAGACTTCCAAAGACATCCAAAGACATCCAATGACTTCCAAATACTTCCAAAGACTCCCAAAGACTTCCAGAGACATCCAAAGACTACGAAAGACATCCAAAGACTCCCAATGACTTTCAAAGACATCCAAAGAATTCCAAAGACTTCCAACGGAGTGTACACCAGACTTCCAAGGAGATTTACCCCTCATACACAGTAAAAAAATAGAGTGGAATTGAACACTATACCTATTCAACTGGTCAACTAGGTATTGGTATTGGTAGGTTGGATGGTGACAGATGCGCTGCGACCTAATTAGATCTATTGTGCTCCATCTGCTTCTGCTATATCAAGGATTTCTTGTTTATAGCAGCCCCTCGAGATTCAATTCCTTCAGGAATTTGAGGATTTTGAGGGGGTCCAGCTGTGGTATTTCTTCCACAGTCAGCTGGTGTGTTCCCAGTATGTTCAATCTTTTGTGATGTACAGCGTCACACTCCATCAGAATGTGATGGGGTGTTTCTGGTTCTTCCTCACAGAATCTGCTGGTGCCGTCCTCCTGTAAGCCTAGCTTCCTTAGGTGTTCTTCGAGTCTGCAATGCCCCGTTAGAAATCCCGTTATTGCTTTGAGACTTCCTTTGCTGAGGTTTGTCAGTGTCTTAGATCTTTCTCGGTTGAAATTTCCAAGGAGATCTTCAGCCTGCCGTAGTCCTGGAAGTCTTCTCCATTGTCTGGCTCTCCAGGCTTCTTCCGCCTTCTCAAGTTCTCCTTGGAAATAGGAATGTCCAAGGCCGCAGAATGGCTCTGGTCCGATCAGTGGCGTTGAAGCCCCTTGTCGTGCCAGAGTGTCTGCTTGTTCATTCCCCTCTACTCCAATATGCCCTGGCACCCAGAGGAGGATCACTTTATTGTCACTGCCTAGCTCATTCAATTTGCTTAGGCATTCCCATACCATCTTCGAGTTGATGTAAGGAGAGCTCAACGCTCAACTGGTCAACTTCCACAACAATGGAAAATTTCCAATGTTACTCCTGACCCATATCTGTTATAAATAACCTTGCAATACTTTTCGAACAATGTGTCAAAAAAAACTTGTTGAATTCTTTACCAAACACAATGTTCTAAATAAACAACAATTTGGATTCATAAAAAACTCAAAACAAGGCTTTGGTGACGAAATAATGCGGGCAGAAGGACGATCTACCATCCAGAGCCATCTTGTGGCTGAAGGGCAAAAATGTAAAGGTATAGATTGTTCAACTATCAAACCTTGCGAGTAAGTCGTGCATATACCTCTACTTCTATGCTTACAGAAAAACAAACACCAAGTCACAATTCTGTAGACTTACGATAGTCACACCTGTAAATCTCAAAGTGGTTTAATGTTCCACTAACAGATGGTGATGTACCTGGAATCTCAAGACTGAGAGGAACTAGGTAAATTTCGTGTCAGCTGAGGCAAGACAGACTGCTTTGGCTTGCCAAGCAAGCCTCATAAGCACTATAGGCCATCTGAAAAACGATTCAGGGTTCCTCCATATTATGATACAAATAGAAGCAAGCCCGTTGTAGAACGGATCTTCTTATAGGTAAAAACAGTTTCAACTATGGTATTTAGACAGTGAGCAAGAACACTAATAAAAAAAAAGTACTTTGACTCACCAATTTGGATTATGTACACCAATTCCCATTAATTTACAGATTGAATTTCCACAATTTCTCGAAAACACCAACATTTCCCCTTGAAGTCCCACAGTTCCCCTTAAATTGTCATATTTTTCCTCTAGTTTGCATTAAATACGTCAAATTGAATTCCCGCAACTCCGAACAAAATTCTTTCACTTGTACACCGAAATTATCATCTGAAATCCCCCTTCTTCTCGATTTCTTATAAGAAATGCTCGGGCTAGAACTAGACGGAAAATCGTCAGCAGTACTGACGTCACAAATACTATGACGCTGTAATAATCTGGAGAATCCGATCTCTACTGTATCCGTCTAGGGCTAGGGTATTCTTTTAGCATTTACTCACTAATCATTAAAACCCTTCTAATTATTTTCCAAAACACCCTTGTACGATGAGATGGTTTATTTTATATGTAGAATGTATACTGTCGAGCACGCTGCCACCAGAACAATATTTGTTTACGCAACATTCACCCTGATCAAATGAACGTTGGAAAGATGGTAAATTCAATTATAGATTTTCCATAATTTCCTAACATGCTCAACATGCCTAGTCTTCTAGTAGTAGGGGGTTTATGGACTATAATTCAATTAGAGACTTTTTTTTTAATTGACTCGGTCGTTATACTTGATGGAAGTCCAGAGCAAATGTAAATACTTCACAAACGATGAGATTTCCACAGGTGCAATGAAAATAAAACATTGGTTCAAATTTTACGTAGGTATACTCTTTTGAGAGAAAAACAAATGAAAACACGAACTGTTCAGTGCGCAAAACAATCGAAATGAACTGTTTGAATGTTCACCATCTAAATTAACCGTAAGAACAGAAACCTGAGAAATACAGAAATCAGGCCTGACTGGGTAAATTTCGTCAGAATGCCATTGTAAATATGATATTGCAAGTTATTTCCATTCGATTTGAATTTCTACAGTGAATTTATGTATTCAAAGACTTGCTTAGCAAAGTTTCATAACATGAATCATGAAAGGATCCAAATCGGAGGATTTTTTTGTAGATCGTGAATGACTGCAATTCGGTAATACTTCGAGTACCTTGAGGTTTTTACTGAGGTCAAGTTGTGGTTTTCTGATAGGATAGGTCATGATCACCTGCTAGATTATGATTCCTGGTTTACCGCACACCCTTAGATCTTGAGAAAACGACCGTAGTATATCGCCTTACAGTTTTCCGGTTTCGCTGGAAGTGAATTCTGATTTCAAAATAGAACAACCTGTATCATTTCACATCAATGTAGCACCTGTCAAAATTTGTGCAATCGATCTTATCTGTTGGTAAATAAATAGTTCTATTCCATAACACTTGTGATGCAATCGTTTCAAACGAAAAAAATCACCGCTATCTGAAAATCAATATACTACCATTGGAATTCGTGTGTACAAATCTCTCATCCCATCCTATACGATGTAGTCAAACATGAATGAAGCAATAACCATCATCATTTCTATTACCCAACAATTTCCATACAGAAAAAAAACACGTGGAGGACAAGCTCGCTGTCTTGATTTCAATCTTACAAATTGCTAAGTACTTCCTGCGTTACTACGAATAACATATACAGGGTTAGCCGAAAGTATGCTGGATCGCCGGCATAATGTAAAATATGGTCTTTCCGGTCAAGTCCATGCAATTGAGAGACGATTCAGATTTCACTGAGCTTGGTTGCATATATACTGTTTCTTTGAATTTGAAATTTCAAGTTATTTTTTCCGGTAACATCTTGAATGTACGAGACGATTGGAAAGGTATTTTAGAAAAAAAAATTCGAGATGCCATTTGAAATGAGAACGTTATAGTCACATTCAGTGTCAGTCATGGAATCACCGATGCGATCTCGTAAACCGTAAGAGATACAGGGTTGGTCAAATTATGGAAAAGATTGAAAAGGAATATTCTCAGATATATTTATGAACACAAAAAAATAGATATAGGTATAAAGAAATGCATTGAGAATTCGTATTCTCCATGTGATGAAAATATTAATTCTTTCTCGGTTTATTCAACAGAAAACAACTGATTTCCTGGCTATATATAGTTTAAAATCTGGCGCTTCGTCTCCAAGAAACTCTCCAAGAAAATTATGCTTCTAAATACAGACCTGAATTTTTCATTTCATTTTTTTCACACCTTCGGATGTCCCAAAAGCTATATGAGCTATCACAAATTTTCGAATGTTTCGTTTACAAAAAGTGTCATTTTCTGTTTTTTTTTGCAATATTCAATACGAATCATCGTATATTTCAGTTTGAATTGATGTATTTTAGTTGTTACATTAATACGAATTGAGTAGTGTACCAGTATTTCAAATGTATCTTATCTTTTGTGACGTTTTTCACATTGATAAAATTATTCCGTATCAATATCCTAATTTCCGTGAACAAATATTCGATATTCCATTGAAACAGGTTTATTGTGACACACGGTATATCTCGGACGCAGGAAAAGGATGATCTAATAATGATAATGATTGACGAAACGTTCCCTTTATTGCCGCGAGTGACAAGGATCAAGGATCGTTTGTAATAATTGGTAAAGGCAGTTTGGTAATAATTCGATTGTGAGGAAATTTTCCATTGTTCGATGTGGATGCGGCTTTTTAAAAGTGGGTTTTGACACGCCTAAACAAACGATGATTTTTTGGAAATGCCAATTGCGGCAGCGATATACGATGATTGCTGACATTCCTGCGGTCTCGTATCTATTTTTACATGGAATATTTTGAAATACAACTTCGAAACGTATGATGAAAGCTCGTGTGTTTCCCTTCGAGGCGAACTGATGAAAATGATCTCAATATACTACAGGGTGATTTTCCTGAGGTTGCGAAAAATCGTGAACTGTAGAAGAGTCTCCTATTTAATTTGGTTTGTTTGGGATGTCATTGAATTACATTGAATACCTACTATCATGCTTGTTGAATTTGAAATATTAATCTACAAAAAAATTTATGAGGTAATGAATTACTTAGGTCGCCAGATTTCCGATGCCAACATCATTTTTTCAATCAAATCCGAAGTGAATGCCATTCATGAATTGTAGAAACACATCAATTGGATTGAAGAGGAATATTCTCAGATATGATTATGAACATAAAAAAATGGATATATATACATATAAAGAAATACATTGAGGATTCGCATTCTCTATGTGATGGAAACATCAATTCTTTCTCGGTTGATTCATATTTGAGGGAGAATGCAAATTCTCTACTTCAGAAGATTTTATTTTCAAATTTTCATCGTGTATGTTCA